ACCGTCACACTTTCGGCAGCGAAACCCGGTGGCCAAAGTCGGAACGCTTGAATCCTTCGCCGCCGCCATCCTGATCGACACTGCACGTGTATTAAGAAAGCCACACACGCGTGTAAGATTGGATGCAGCAGCGTTTTTTTCCAAGGCTTTATTGTCGATGCAGCTGCAACGTTCGATGGCAAGGCAGCTCTCGTCGCTGAGCTCGCCGCAATCGGCCCATCATTCCAGCTTCCGCAACCCTCCCACGCTGGAAGCGGCGCAGGATGCAGTCAGTCTTTTCCTCTCTCTCGCATGGGTTAGGCTTGGCCGCTTAAGAAGGTGGGATCGTGGGCCCTCAGCAACGCAGCTGTCAGCAGCGGTACTCGAGGCTTGGCCCCCGATCTCCCGGGTACCAGCGCTTCCGTGGCGTTGTCATTCTCCAAGCTCACGGGTTGATGTCATCTCGATGTTGACCAACTACCATCAGAGACTAATGTAGATTGGTGTTATGCATGGTTATTAGAAGTGACGGAAACCAGCTCGGGTATTGTTCAAGACAAGCAACTGTTGCTGCGCATCAGAGACACAAAACCCATTCCCAGAGCGCAGCTAGGGACTTGACCCATCCTTGGCCACGAGAGAGTGTGAAAGAAGTCTTAGATGACCCTGTTTTTGCTCCTCTTTCAACGTTTGTGTCTCGTATTCACTCTGGGGCAAAAAAAAAAAGCAAAGGTGCAAGTTCCCCTCCCGTGGGCTGAGCCTCCTTTTGCTTGCTCGGCGCGTACTTGCAGCAATGTGCCCACTACTCGACATCCTGGGTGACGAAAGCGGAACGGGGATGTTCAGGAGGACGGAAAGCAGAAAATTGCTGCCCGAGCAAGCCGGGGAACTTTTTTTTTTTTTTTTTTTTTTTTTTTTTGTTTTTTGGTCGAATGTACACTGGAATAGAGTTGACGCTAGCAAACACCTCAACGCTTTCCTCATGCAAATCCCATCGACAAGCGCATAAAATTACATCCGTCGTCAGTGAGTACAACTAGCCAACTACACGACATGCCGGCCGGGCTGCCATTTCTTTTTCCCTAATTTCCGCGTAATCCGTAGCAACTAGGTGTCTCATTTCAATGCGAACTCGTCTTGCCTTATCAAACTACTATGCAGGGAAAGGAGTTTGACGGACAATGGAAAAAGAAAAAAGGAAACAGCAGATGGAGATTATTTGCTTATTTTGTTTCGGCGCTGGTGGACAGACAGCTCCGGCGGCGGCAGGCTGGACAGCCCATCGGGCGCCAGAGCGGCCTTTGCTAGAGGCGGCGTGCTATCCGCAATTGGTTGTCCGTAAAGTCCTCTTTGCTCGCTGTTCACTAACTAGAGCCAATAGTCTGGAACGTCTGCTATAAACGCTAGGAAATCTCCCGCGTCGGCGTCATGGTAGCCGTCATCGTAGTGCCGTCTTTAGTCAACGGGTAAGCCGCTCTAGCGGGCTTGATGAGTTGTCTATCAACCTTTGCTGACCGAGCCTTGTTATGAAAAACCGAAGCAAGACTTTAGTCCTACAAAGCTACCAGTTATTCATTATCAGTACTTGTGAGCGATGACCCGCGGCTTGCTCCCGGGGGCGGGGGGGAACAAACGTTGACAAGACAAGACAACAGTAAGACAGGGTTGCGGGAACGCTAATAAGAATACAAGGAGTATAAAAAATGCAAGGGAGATATGCACAACACGGTCTCGAAGCAGGCCGGGGACTGAACAATAGCCCCCAACCCTCTCATGACACCCAGCCCTCTCATGACAGTCAAGGCTCCATCCTGGCCAAGTCTCCATCCTGGTTCTTGATATAGTGTTAGAATGCGAGCCTGTCCGCAGAAGAGGCCGCCTTTTTAGCCTTTTTAGTTTTCCCTCCCCCGGCACATCACATCACATCACGGGGAGGGGGCCTCCGGGCCGCCGCCTCCCGCCCCTGTCCACTAACAGCCTAATAGCCAGCCCCCTGGGCGTCGCTGTGACCGACCAACCAGGGCTGATTCTGTTTTCCTCTTCTGGGTGCTTGCGGCGGGGGCGAATTCACTTGCCGTGCCTATTATCCCCTTTCAACAGCACATATGAGCTGAAGAACGGGGGTTGTTTGTTTGTTTGTTTGTTTGCTTGCTTGTTTTCTGCAAGCGACCAGTTACTTGACGACCCATGCATATGTACATGCGCTGCAGCTACGACAGATACAGAGAGATAATTCGGCCTTATGTCGAAAATATGAGACTGTTTGCCTTTTTTTCTTTCTCCCGAGTCGCCCAACGTCGAGGCTGCTTGGCAGTGTTGTGAGAGCACGTCGCAGTGTGGACGGAGGTCGCACTCGGTCAGTAGTATGACAGGCGTCTTTTTCATCCCAACATTCAGCCTGGCAGGCTGGGGGGAGAGAGGGCTCGAGAGCATCGCGATGCGACTCTATCTGCCGTGGTACTTCTTAGTCAGAAAGATAGTTACCATGATCTCAGCTCGTTGGGATACCAGCCCCCTTGTCAAGGCAGCCAGTAACGGCCTTGTCAGGCTCGAATCCAGTTTTCTTTTCTTTTTTTGCTTTTTCCTTTATTGTCCCAAAGATAATGTCTCGACTGGTAACCGAGAAACATGTTTCTCACCCTGCTGCATCAGAGACACCTCACGCCCCCTCCAAGACATGGCTTGCGCCTTTAAGAACTGATGCTTGCCTGTACACGGTGAAGCTGCCCGACACTGGAGCAAAAGAGCCCCATGAAGGATCATTCTTCTCGTAAAAGTGCAGGAGTTGGTTAGCCGAATGACTCGGATTGGACCACGTCAAATATGCATGTCTGACTTTTTTTTGCCTGTGTTTATTAGCCCTCGAGCAGGCAGTTATCCGCGGTCACTTCGGCGAGACTTGGCACAGGGCGGTGGCCGATGGCTCGAAACCAGGATGAGCAGGTTGGCTCCTTCGTACGTGCATTTGCTTCTTTTTCATTTGTTTCCGACTTGCTGGAGCGCTGTTGATTGCTTTGCATTTCTTGGCGATAACTCAGGCTGGCGAGTAGCGACGGCTTAGTCAAGCAGAAGCAAAACGTTTCCCCAAAGGCCAAGTTTCCGCACAAAACTGCCTTGAGATCTGTAATTAAATGCAATTAAATGCTTTTTCTTGCCTATCTGCATGCACTTGGCTGCTTGGTCTACCCAGACACTTGCTGCTGGGTGATATTCGTAAGCCACATTGTTGCGGTTCCGCAAGTTGCCCTGCAGGAACAAGGATCTTGACTTCAGCTCATGACACTTACATATGTCTTTTTTTTTTTTGCCTCCGGCTCATTTCGTACCTGGTGTAACGACTGACAGCTCATCAAGACCACGCCACTTCCCGCTGCGACTTCGCTTCTGCTCTACCTTGCAGCACCGGCCTCATCTGGCATTCGCACGGCCCCAATGTATTCCTTCTGCTCCTCACTTGCTACAGCCGACTAACGAGCCAGTTACCAACTAACTACCCTCCCTTCCCGTCTGGAAATCAAGGTCAAAGCCCCAGGGGGATTGACCCGCGACGCTCCACAAGCTGCGATAGTCCGATGTTAGCGCTTCCTTTGGGCCAGCCAAGTTGTCCGTGCCGCTGCCCCGTCCCATCCAAGGTGTGAGCGAATGGTAGGCTGGATGTGCCAGGATCAGGATGGCAGCTTTGGCGTTGGTTGGTTGGTTCCTTCAGGCTACGAGGCTTGATCTGGGCCGCTTTGCTTCCCCGTCTCATCAAGCCAAAATCGCGCCCCCAGGTTCATCTAGGTTGTCTGCTTCTTTTTGTGCACGGAGCATCTCTCCTGTCCCGGAAGCTCGCTGAGAGCATAAGAGAAGTTTCAATCAAGTTGACTCCTAAGATGACACCCGGTCAACTGCCGGGATATGTTCACGCAGCAACCCATATGTACAGGGTATTTATACCGGTTCAACGTCGATGCAATATCTGCGCCTATATGATTTGCCAAAGTGACATTACCGGGGTCCATTCAAGCTGCAACACAAGATTAACTCGGCTTGCTGACTTTACTGCATCTCAAAGACAACCACCATTCAAAGTATACGATAAACCAGGGAGGGCGCCATAGTTTCGGACGGCCCTCTCAGCCGTTCTATTTCTGAATGTCAGCTGTGTATTTCTAAATGAAGTCGTCACAATGATGTCGAAGTATTGCTTTCTCGACCAATGTGACAACGAGGGGCTGTGCTCGCCCAGCCCCAAGCAGCGAGGGAGACTTATGCAGCCAAAGGAAGCCAGTCAGCCGCATAACAAGTTTGGTACCCATTCGGATAGTAACGGCTCGAATATGGGTACCTGCTGGATAGTTGGCATTTCTCCCTGCCGTGCCGGTGTTCTTTCCGAGATGCCTTGCCAATTAGTTTGCTTGGTCCCGAGCGGGAGCGAGCCGTCATGGGACAGTCACCCGAAGCAACCTCTCAGCTCAAACTGCCCCAACCTTGACCACGAGGACGTCGAAACTGGATTGAGGAACACATTGATGAATATAGTTACTATCACTTGTACACTTGTATAATATTTCTTTGTTTTTGTGAAGCTGGATGCTCCTGGGATGGTGGGGCCGGCGTCGCCATGTCGCATCACAGACGTCCATTTGAAGGTCTGCAGGGAACAGCAGCTGCAGCATCGAGGGCCACAATTTGTTTCAATTTTTTTCTATTTTCTTTTTCAATTTTTTTCTCCCTCTTTCCGTCTATTTTTGTACACCCCCTGGATGCCTTCCCATAGAAGTGGATAAGACTACCTGTGTGGTTGTGTGGCGGACTGGTGCAGAGACAACAGAAGGCTGGCCGGGCTCGTTGTGATGGAGGAGAGTCGACGACGTTCTGAGGTCCGAACGAGTGCCCGAACAAGTATATAAAGGCCATGAAATCCCTCCATTCTCTGTCTTAACCTTCTCAGATCATCCCAAGCTCAATCAACTCTTTCCACACAATCACCTCTTCTTTTCAAGACCACTCAATCACCATCACCCCATCCTCCCATCAAGATGAAGTTCTTCGCTGTCGCTGCTCTCTTCGCTGGCGCTCTCGCCGCTCCCACCGTCGAGGTTGAGGCTCGCACCAACAGCAGCCCTGTCTGCCCCAACGGCCTCTACTCCAACCCCGTCTGCGCCGACGTCGACGTCCTCGGCATACTGTGCCTCAACGCCGTCTCCCGTGAGTGACACTCCTCATTCACCATACCATTTTTTGTATCTTGACTGACATCCCCCATAGCCAGCGAGGCTCCGCGTGACGCCAACCACTTCAGGGAGATCTGCGCCAAAATTGGCAAGGAGGCTCGCTGCGCCGTTGTTCCTATCGTAAGTACTCTCAAGTCTCTATTTAGTTATCGAGTGCTAATTGCTGTTCTACTATAGCTCAACCAGGCTGTCCTCTGCAACAAGCCAGTTGGCATCACCAACTAGACGGCAACATGGAGCGCCTCCCGTCGCAGCTCGCTCGTGAGCTTCATCCGCAGGTGGCTGTGGCGGTTTTGAAAAGAATGTGGTCGGAGTTGTTCATATGAGATGGGTTAGTATCTAAGGGTCTCCAATTGCCATATATAGTTCTGGGTCGCGTCCCCAAGTGTACAGAAAAGGGACTGCCCGCATGAGAGTGCTTGATACATGTCTAGAATATATTATGCCATTCTAATGAAGCGTTTCCCGTGACTTAGGATGCAGCGTTTCTCGTTAGAACCTTTAGTAAATTACGAGATCGGTCGCTCATACTCTCGTAGAAAGTGCTGCAGTCAAGACTGAACCCGGGCTCCAACTTTAGAGTCCGGCACTCAGCGGTGTCGTGGGACATGACACCCAACGAAACAGAAGTCCGCTTGGAAGATAGAAAATCTAAGGCATCTTCAAAGAATTACAAAACAGCTAAAGACACGAAGTTGTGGTCTCGCTGAGTTAGAAAAGCTCGTCTAGTCTCTACTGAGAGGAAGTCTTCAGGGTGTTAATCTACCCCGCGAAAGTGCTCCCCACGGAATGACGCAACTTACAGACCTCAGCAAGAGCCCACCAGAGCAAATGCACCAAGCGAGTCGTTTTTGGCGTCTAAGTGTAATTCATACGGTCTATCTGATGACGCGCTTTTAGTGAAAACAATCAAATTGGTCTTTGGAATTCGCATGCATAGTTTTATTTTGTCGACCGTGTAGACTCGTCCGGCAGCACCGTGTATCGCTGTTCTGCGCTGAGTTGGCGGCGCAGACGTACTTGATCGAATTCGCGCCGTAATCTTGTGTCGAAATATTGTAGGCGGAGTATTCGCTTGCTGACCGAGTATCCCGTATAATATAGTCGGCCTTCGTGTGTCGGCCCCCGTATGTCGGTCGTATAGAACAAGTCGCAATCGGCCTCTTTCATCCACACCCCTCCCCCAAGACGGGCCTCAGACGCCCCGCGGCAGGCAGCAAAAGTCGGCGCACAGCTGACACATCCTGTCAGCCGGCTCGTAGGTGCAGCTGTCGCCACCGGGGCCGGCCCGGGAGGCCTCGGAGGTGTTGGGGCACTCGCGCGCGGGGAAGGCCGCGTGGGACATGACGAAGCGGCGCTGCTTGCAGACGACGGTGACGATGCCTGTCTGGTTGACCAGGTGGCGCAGGCCGAACGGCGTCTGCACTGACTCGTCGAGCCGCCGGCACTTGTCGTCGGCGGTGCAGGGGCAGAACTCTTGCACCTGGATGAACTGGCACATGGCTGTGGGTGGACGTTGGGTAGCTGAGGTAGGTGATGACGGAGGAAGCGGAATTATGTAATTGGGCATGTAAGGTGTAATGCTGTCTTGAGATGTTGAGAAGGCGGGAGATGAAAAAAGGAAAGAAAGGAGATTTCTTTTGTATTCTTTCTCTAATTACTATATGAACTGTGCCACGCTGCTGCGTCGCGCAAAGGCAGTACACAGGCAAAGTGACAGACATACCTGGGCCTTTTCGACGTCAACCTTGGTTCTTCTCGTGTATGACCAAGGTGAATCAAAAACAAGAGGCTCCCAAACTGTCGGGAGCACAAAGACTGATTCGAGTGAATCAAGGCAGCATCCTGCATAAGACAAAAGGCGCCCCCCCTCCCCCTCCCTCCCCATCCCTCTGTCCCTCATACACCACTCTGCACTCCCCCCCTCCCTCATATATAGTTGCTGCACATGCTACAGCTACTGCAGGGCCTTGATGTAAAGACGTAGAGGATCTTGTCCCCCGAGGGCCCGCGGCGTGAGGAGATGGTCGTCTGGAAGCACTCGCGCGATGCCGAGAGCTGTCGCTCCCTGACCCTCCTCCGGGCGCACGCCTCGCTCCGATGGACCGGATCGCTGATGATGTGGTAGGGCGTGCCGCCAATGTTGATCTGGCTGGTGCGCAGCGCGCCGAGGCAGCGGTCAGCCTCTTGGCACCGACACACGGTCACTTCGTAGTAGAACTTGCACATGGTGAGTTGCCTATGCTGGGTCTTTCGACAAGGTGGCTGGAAGCAGTTGGAAGCGGTTTTCAAGTGCGGGTGTTTGAGAGGTGTGAGAGTCCAAGTTCTCTTCGGAAAGCGTCTTCTCGCAGGTATATATAGATCGATAATTGCAGTCAGGCGCCGACAGCCGGGGACATGGAATACGAGGATCTTGTTTACTCTGATTCATTCATTCACATCATTACCGTTTTACCTCAAGTTTGGTCCTAATTAGCCATACCCAACCCACTCACCGCGAGCCGTTGTACACGGGAATGTTAGCCGCCAGCCTCACAAGCCCCAAGTCCTCCCTTCCTTCTCCCATTGTGTCTCATCCTTCCCTCGTGGCACCTCCCATCATCCGTCGTCATCAGCATCACGACAGCCCAAGGCCCCGTCTCCCCCCTGCCTGGTACCACCGTCGGGCTGAGGGCATCCGCTGCTGCACGAGGCGCACACCCTGTGATCGCGCACGCAGCCGTAGGGGTCGTTCTGCCAGCCGTGCCTCGACTCCGCCGAGGTGTTGGGGCAGTCCCGCCGCGGCACGCCGTCGCCTCGCCTCAGCTGCTCCGAGCAGGCGGCCGACCGGATCAGCGCGTCCCCGCGGAAGTGAAACAGCTTCTTCTTGTAGATGGTGGAGCCCTTGCCGAGCTGCGTGCACTCGCGTCCCGCCGGGCAGGGACAGAGGGGCTGTTGCAGGATGAATCTACACATTTCTGTCTGTCTTGCGACGGGGTGAGTTTGCGAGGATGGGGGACGCGGCTGAGGTGGAAATACGATGATATAGGGGTGGGTATATATCTCAACAGATTTATAGACTATATCCTTATTTGAAGCAAAAGAAACTCTTTGAATTCCCTCTTATACCCAACTCTTTGTGCTGAGGGATTTGGGCTCTGACGGGATGTTACACAGTGACAGCCCAACCGCGGTAGGCATTCCGAGACACAGCCCGTCCATAGGCCATCTATATACCGTCTATAGGAAGGATCGTCCATGACGTGTAGGTGAAATATAAATGGTCAAAAAAATCCCAAAATACTCCTGACTCACCTGCGGAGGAAAGTGAGGGTGTTACGGCCGATGCTCGGGGCCGAAGCTGGCTGTATGAGAGAGGTGGTGACAGTTGCGTGGCATGACATGACAGCCCAACAAAGGTAAATATAATCTCAAAATTGCAAAAATTAAGAAAACACTGCCGCTTTGTATTCGTTTATATAATTAGCCAAACCAGCGAAAACATGTCGAAATTCGTCACAAATAATGAGCACACATTATCTGAATGAGTACAGGATTCTCACCCGCATCCTCCACCATTGCTTGTCCCACGCTGCATTCTCCATCTCTAGTTGGCTCTCGCGCAGTAGCAAGACTCTTTCCTCAAAACTCCATCGGCGGCGGACACCGCTCCGTGCAGCGCGCGCACAGCTTCTCGTCGCGTATGTAGTGAACCTGGGCGGTCCAGTTCGGCCGCGTCAGCTCGCAGTTCCTGTCCGGCTCCGAGCTGCCCTTCTTCCGGCGGAGGAAGCACGCACTGTAGATGACCTCTCTCGAGCCCGTAAGGGGCCATCTCTGGCCCTCGATGGTGACGCAGCCCAGGTGCCGCCACCCGCAGTCCTGGCCGGCCGGGCAGAGGCAGAGGCAGAGGTGCAGGTGCGTGGAGAACCTGCACAGTGCTTTTGTTCGCAGGGCGGGGGTTTTTTGAGGTTAGTAGTAGCATGATAAGACGTGAGAGAACACGTAGTAGCCGCAAAGAAAGGAAAAGTCGAAGTGACTTTATGTTATATTGGAGGGAGCCTGGGCTGTGTGTAGTGCCTATCAGCGTGCGATGGATAGGAGGGCAATCACTCGACTCGGGCCGCAGACGCCAAACTCCAAGGGTGGGCTGGCATCCGCTTGAAATAAGACATAGTGAATGTACAAAATCGATGCGCAAACTCGTACAAATTTTGTTGATTTTTTTTTAGCTCACCATGACGGGCCCCCGATATATTCTTAGTGACAAGTTGACAGCACGCGGCCACATCGCACAGGACTGACAGCCTGTCACTGTCGTGTATCTACGGTACAAGTCGCAGGTATACAGGCGCATCGCCACAGGTACAAGCATGACTGACGGCCATATATCCTGACTTGAGTAGCCTTGAGCGTCTGCGAGTACGCCTTGTTACCGTGCAAGTTCAGCTCCCAAATTCTCGGCTCGTCACAGCACCTTGAAGGTCGGGCCTTGTCTTGCCCAACGTGCAAGTCGGCCCGCAGGCCGGAAATGATGAATCAGAAATGGGAAACGTTTAGCGAGAGTGGTAACCTTGCGTTTATATGCGGGTTTGTTGCGAAAGCTGGATGCTGTGTTTTCGACCCAGCTAGAGTAAGTACGCTGCTTACAAGAGAGTGACAGGCCGCCAAGGCAGTACCGATTACACGGACCCGCCGGTAATGAAACAAAAGTCAAGGTTGGTGGTATGTGTGGCGCAAATGAGAGAGTTGACGAATTTCAAGGAATTTCAAGGCATTTATTTTCTCTGCATACGTAGGCCAGGAAAGTCGTGTCTGCCAAGCGGCTGTCGGTTCATTGGGCTGTAGTCAGGGGTGTCTGCCAGGCAAGCCAGAGACAAGGGGAGAGAGCTTATAAGTTACATCTCGTTGGGCGCTTACCTGTCGCCATTTTTCGTACTCGCATACGAAATGAGATGCCTTGATATCGTACAGAAAGCAGATTGAGGCAACAAGCATCCTAGCCAGACTTTTTGCTCTACTGTGTCCGTGCCCGACTTGGGTCGATCTGCAGCAGGCAGGCCAAATGCAGGTCTTGGCACTGGCAGAAACGCAGGGCGACTTGTTGAGGACTAGTTGCTGTGAAAAAAAAAAAGGCCGTCTCAACAGGTTCAAGTGTGAGAAAGCGCGCGCGTTCCCTCTGAAGCCTTATCGTGGTGGCTACCAGTCACCTCACCCAGGCTCCCACCAGGAGGCCGTCATGATTGAATTACAGTGCCCGATTAACTCCGCCACTGGACACAAGTCCAATTGCCCCCGTCGTGATACTAACAAGGCCCATCCCGGAAGAGTAACTGCCCAACCCGGGCTGGGCGGTGGTGGTGAGCGCCACAACGGGTGCTGAAAGCCTTCGTTTAAGTTTGACTGGTTTTTAGCGAGGCGACTGCGCCTTTTTTTTGTCTGTTCCGTACGGGCAACTTGTCAACCTTCACATGAGAAGCTTATTCCCTCCCAGGGCCAGGCCAAGATGACCCCGCCTCATCAAGCCGCGGCATCGTGGCAGGCCGCAAGCCACTGGGAATGCCACCCCCGGCCGCTGTCCAGGGCCCCTGCCCATCTTCCCCACAACCTATCTGGCCATCGATGCGGGGAAGCCAGTCCTAGTTATAATTTTAGTTGACTGTAGTTCATGAGGGAGCCGAGAAAGGCTGTTGCGGCCTGGAGAGAGAGTTTCAGTCTGGGGAATGGGTGGTAGGTGGTGGGTAAGGGTACGATGACTTCCCCATTCACTTGTCCAACTATGCTCTGTAGCTTAACGCCTTTTCTTTTTTGTTTCAACTCGATATGACCGTGTCGATCATAACTCGGGTGTCATACCAATACCAGCGCCCTTTACTCGTCAATTGCCCCTTTCCGTCACTTACACAAGGCCGGAAAGTTCTACAGCAACGTCATAATATCTGCTTGTGCCACCATCACCAAGTCAGAGTTCGGACTGCAAGGCTCATCTATTGCGCCGTGCGTCCGGCTCACAAACGATAAAACACCTAATAAACTCGACGATTTCCGCTTCCAGACGGGGAAATTAGTAGCTCAACCCCACGGGAACTAACTAGGCTCGGGCTGACTGACGGTGAAGGAAACAAAGAGGCTTTTCCCCGGACTGCCTGCCCGATTAGGCAAGATGCCGCTCTGGTTGGATATTAGCTCTACGGGAGAAAAACTCGAGCAGCGAACCTCGCACCCTCGCGACCGAACGGGACAGGGATTCCGTTACTGGGCATTGGGCGGAGAGTAATTGGTAATGCACCCACTCTTCGGGACTCATTATCGTCAGTTATTGCAGGTCAATGTTGCCCGTTCTTTGGTGGAGATGAGCTCAGATGCGGAGAACCTTGCGATGTAATGGGGAGAGACCTGGGTCGTCACGTAGCATCGCGGATGTGTCTAGTGGTGTAGTGCCTCATGGCTTGCATGGGATCCTGGCAACGCTCCATCACCATCGAGGACAAGTGCGGCGTTGTCCCTCGGCACGCTACCGTTCATGAACGACTTCCATGTGCAAGTCTCACCACAACCCATGCTGTCCATGCCCATGTCCTTGAGCCATCCTTGAACCAGACCCATCCCCTTCTTGCTATATAAACAGACCTGTCGATCCCAACCCCAAGACAACCTCCATCTCCAGAGCTCCTCTCCCAGCCTTCTCCCCCTTCCCACCTTGTCGATCCCCTCCTCTTCCACCATGCAGTTCAAGTTCCTCGCCCTCGCCGCCCTCGCGGCAACCTCCGTCGCCGCCGACATCAAGTCCTCGCTCGACACCATCGGCACCGCCGTCGTCAAGCTCAACTCCACCGTCACCTCCTACCGCGGCGACCTCCTCGGCCTCATCCCCATCACCACCGACGCCCTCTGCTTGCTCGACGACATCAACGAGGGCACCAAGACCGCCCAGGCCGCCGCGCCCCTCTCCTACGACGCCGCCCTCGACATTGCCCAGTCCACCGGCACCCTCGCGTCTTACGTCAACGACGTGATTGACAACTTTGTGCGCACCAAGCCCAAGTTTGCGAAGCTGCTCATTGTGGTGCCGATCATCAAGGAGACGCTCAAGACGCAGCGCGCGGCGACGGCGAAGCTCTGCAAGGCGGTCGTGGACAAGGTCCCGCAGGAGCTGCAGGAGATTGCGGAGATTATCGTCAAGCAGATCGACGACAAGTTTGCCGAGGGCATCAAGGCGTATTCTTGAACGACGAACGTTGGTCTGGTAGGGCTGTTGGGGGCAGCAACGTATATGAAGAAAATGGTCCGAGGTGACTGCCAAAGATTGAATTGAAGAAAGAGCAGCTTTGGTCCAGTATATGAGCACATTACGTACATTCATTCATGTATATATTTACCATCAATATAAGTCACTCAACCGCCTCCGCTGTCTGTATGCAGTGTCACGCATACTATTTGATCAGATGGTTCACAAAAGTAGTATAATTCCATTGTCTTGACTATATGCCCATTCTTTGGCCCATTTTCAACTTTTCTTTTTTCGAAGATACACCCTCAAGCATCTCTAATCCATCTGGTCCACCGTCCGCGGCGTCTCCTGGCCACTCACCGGTGCGCCCTCCACCTTCAAGTCCTGCACGCCCACCTCGCAGCGCCAGCCAAACTCGTCCTCGACCTTGCCCAGCTGGATCGCCTTGAGCTGCGTCAGCACCTTGATGCACACCGGGCCCGCCTCGTCCTTGTCCGCGGCGATGTACGTCACCGTCTCCGACTCATCGTCCGTTGTCACGTTGGCCGCGCCCGTCGGCAGCCCGCCCTTGACGAGGCGCGTGACGGACCGGATCGGCACCAGGGCCGCTGCCGTGCCCGCAGCCATAACCTCAGTGAAGTCCGGCAGCTCCGCGTACTTGACGGCGCGCTTCTCGACCGTCCAGCCCCAAGCGCGCGCCATGTGCTGCACGCTGTCGCTCGTCACGCTGTCGATCACGCAGTCCGAGTCCGGCACCACAATCTTCACATCGCTTCCCTCCGCGCCATCCTTGGCCACGACGCCAATGAAGCCGCTCGTGCTGAACTCGTCAATATCCTCATGCCGCGCGCTGTCCAGGTGCAGTGTGATGCCGTAGCCCTGGCGGCGCGCCTTGTCGCTCCACCGCAGCACCGGCGCGTAGTTGCCTCCCACCTTGGCGTTGCCAGTGCCTTTGGGCGCCGTGCGGTCAAACTCGTCCAGGACCAGCGCCTTCACAGGGCTCGTCCCGTGGTACACACCCGTCGGCACCACGAACACGCAGAACGTGTACTCCTCCGGCGCCGTCAGCCCGAGCTGCGCGCTCGAGCCGTACAGCTGCGGGCGCACGTAGAGCGCCGCGCCGGTCTCGTGCGGCGGCACGAAGCCCGCGTTGAGCGCGACGGTGGCGCGGCACGCGCGCACGAACATGTCGACCGGAACGCGCGGCATCGAGGCCACGTCGGCGGAGTGCTGCAGACGCAGGGCGTTGCGGTCCGGCCGGAACAGAGACAGGCGCGAATCGCCGGGGAGGCGGAAGGCTTTGAGGCCCTCGTACGCCTGCTGGCCGTAGTTGAGGGCAGGGGACATGCCGTGGATGCGCATGTACGGGTCGGCGACGAATTTTAGCGGCGTCCACTGCCCGGTGGCCTGGGAAAAGGTCGACTCCATGTGGCCGTTGACTGGGTGCAGGTTTTGGTTAGTAGTGTACACCACCGAGGGGGGACGAAGATGTGTGCGGCGGGGTGCGTACCTTCGCGGACCTTGAAGCCGACATTGGACCAGTCGATGGTGTTGACCGGGGGAGGAGGAAAGGCAGCCATTGTGATGGGTTCTGTCAGTTTGTTTATGTTTTGGTCGCCTATGATGGTATTCTGTGAAGAAAAGAGGTAAGCGTGGGCTCGAAGGCGGCAATAAAGTATCGAGTTCGCGGGGTAGCTGGTGCGGGACAGAAAAGGACAAGATCGAGGGGTGCGTTGCACAGTTGATTGCGGGCACTCGGACTGGCAACGTGATTCCAACAACGTACATCGGGTTAAGTCGGTGTTCAATCGGGCTTTGCCAGGAGATGCAAGAGAAGTCGATGCTCAAGGAAGGTGACGATGGAAGCAATGTCGGACAGCTGGTGTTTCGGCATGCTCTTCTTGACTCAGGTGGGCTGCTGGACACGCCGCTGGCCGATGTCGGGTAAGGGCACGGAGTAGTTAGTGGCTGCAAGCTCAACTGCCCGTTTTAACTCATAAAAATCTTATAAAATCTAATAAAAGCGCACAGCAGCCGCTTGCGGATCGGCGCTTTTTTTTTTTTTTTTTTTTTTTTTTTTTTTTTCATGGACATCTTCTATTGGCTGAGAGATTATTGAGACACGACACTGCAATGAATGGAACACAATTGCAAGGTACAGGATCTTAATATATTATTCTCTCTGCCTGATAACGTCCAGAGCGGAAAATACCCTTGCGGGAACAAAACCTTCTTATTAGCAAATTTATTTGCTTGAAGAAAAGATAGGTAAAAGAGTTGGTTGATGGCACTGCGCAAGTGCGTGGTAAAGCTCCAGTGTAAACGCCGTGTAGGTAGGTAGGGGTGGTACAGAGCTGAGATGTTTGTAAATGTCGACTCTAAAAGAAACAAGTAAACAGTAAAAAGGAAAGAGAGCAAAGTATGTATTCGCCAATAATCAGAAAAGCATCAACGCAGAAACCAAAAATCAAATCATAAAACATCGTTCAAAACGTGCTCGTTGTCCTGTCATCTCGGCATGTAGTTCATGCTGCTGTTTGTCCAAGCCCGGTGCCAGCCAGACGCTGAAGGAACGTAAGAACGCCTGCATAAATCATCAGCAAAAGACACGGAGCATGTTGCGTTAAAGGAAAACATACCACTGACACCCTGCGTTAACGTGGCGCTGGCCTCGGTGCTGCGGCTGCCGAGGCTCACAGTCACCACCTCACGCACTGCGCCGACGTCGCCCAGCAGGTTCGCCCACTTAAACACCTTTTCATCTTCGCGACCGTCGCCAATCACCATCATAAAGTCCACAGAATCCTTGTCCCCTCCATCCGGCGCCAGGTAGCTCTTGAGGCGGTCAAACACCTGCTGCGCCGCCGTGCTCTTGGTCCAGTCCGCCGGCTCCACGATGATGCAGCTGTCCAGCAGGACCGCGTGCACCCGTTGCGACTCGCATGCATCGTTGACGTGGCTTGTGCAGTCGGCCGCCAGGCGCGAGGCTGACTCAAAGTCCTCGGCGTTGCCAAAGTGGAAAATGAGGCTGCACCGGCGCTCCTCGAGCTCCGCGCCGGGCGTCCGCTCAAGGTAGTACGTGAGAATGTTCTTGACTGAACGTTTCCAATTCTTAATCTGAGACGTGTCAGCCATTTCCTCCCACTCCGTCGACCCGTGCTCGCGCAGGAAGCATCCGTTTTCAGCAATCAGGCCCAGGTTCGGCACGCGTTGGAACACCCGATCCAGTTCCTCAGGTAAGCGTCCCGACATGACGTATACCCTGTTGCGCTCGTCCAGTAACAGCTCGTTAAGAACATCCAGTGTTCTCTGCGGGCTAACGGGGATGATTTGATTGACCGGGCCCCAGTTCACGAGGGTGCCTTCGTAATCCAAGATAAACAAACGACGCTTTGACAAGTTATACTTGTCCGTGACGACAGGGAACGACAGACGGGGGACCGAAGTCTGGTCTCGCTTGTGCTGGGTCTCGTATGCGCGGTCCAGACGAGACAAAAACTCGCTGAACCAGTGAGCGCCGGTGTGCAGAGACACAGCCTCATACAAGTTTTCCCACCTCGTCTTCTTCTCGTCTTCATCCATCTCAAGGCCTTGCTTAATAGCGTCGGCGCATTGGCGGTAGTCCCAGGGGTTGACGCGAAGCTCGTTACCGTTGAAGAGCGACGAGGTGCCGGTGAATTCGGACAGGATCAGAGATCCATACTTCTTTTCCGGGTAGATCTTGCCATCCTGGCAGAACAGGTATTCGTGCGACGTCAGGTTCATGCCTTCGCGCTGGCTGGTAATCATGAGAGCGTCGGCAACCGTAAGGAGAGCGAGGTACTGGGCGTAGTCAATGTCTTGCTTGAGATAGACGACCGGCTGGTACGCTAGGTTGGCCCAGGAAGAGTTGACGCGCGTCACAATGTCCGAGACAGTGGCATCCAAATCGCTCTTCTCGCTGGAAGAGAGGGCGACCTGGATCAGAACAGTGTGCTCTCGCCACTCGGGGTACTTATTAAGGAATAGCTCGTACGAGAGCAGCTTCTGTCGAACGCCGCGGACATGGTCCAACTTGTCCCTGGCGACAATGAGCTTCTTGCCCTTGTACCGCTCCTGCAGGATGTCAAGCCAGCGCATCACCTCGGGTTTCTCGCGGTGAAGGGCCAGGCTGACAGGATCGATGCCAATGGCGAGATTCACGACGTCGACGAAGCGGTCTTCGAGCTGCAAGCCCTCAGGCGTGGCCTCGACGCTCAGGATCCTGCTGCAAGTCTGGAGGAAGTGACGGGTATACTCGCGAATCTGGAAGCCAACGAGGTTGGCGCCGAGCATACCCTCGAGCAGCTGCTTGCGGACTGCAAGGCATCGGAAGACCTCGGAGGAGGGGAAGGGGACGTGGAGGAAGAAGCCAATCTTTGCCTCGGGCAGCTTCTGGCGGACCATGTTGGGGACGAGGAGCAGGTGGTAGTCGTGGACCCAGACGACATCGCCGCGCTTCCAGTTGGCGACAATCTTGTCGGCGAAAGCCTGGTTGACGTTGACGTAAAACTGCCAGGAGTGGTCCTCGTAGGCTTTACTCTTGGGGTTGTCGGGGATCTGGTAGTGGAAGACGGGCCAGAGAATCTGCTTGCAAAAGTGGCTGTAATGGCCGTCAAAGTCCTTGTCGGAGCAGAAGACGGTAAGCATGTCGTGCTCGGTGGCGAGGGTGTCCTCGATATTCTGCTTCTGTTCAGTGTCGTCGAGGGCGTCAGTGGGCATGCCGAGGGTGCCAATCCACATGTGCTCGCCGAGGCGGCCGTCGCGGGCGGCGGCGTCGACGGCATTGCGGAGGCCGCCGTTGCCCTGGTCGGCGTTGACGATCTTCCATGGGGCCGAGGCGAAGACGCGGTCGTGGCTGTCGCTGCGGATGTTGGGCTTGGGCTGGACGACGCCGCGGCGACCGAGCTCGCGGGCCTTTTGCAGGGTGCGGCCGGTCTCAAAGGCGTGCGGTGCGGGCGGGGAGTTGGCGCGGGACTTGGGCTGGTCGGAGCGGTGGCCCCAGGACTGGGAGAGCTGGTTGATGGGGGACTCCATCTCGTGGGGGTACTGGATGCGGAGGCCATCCTCGTTGGCGAAAAGGTTAGGCGACCGAGACTCGTCAGTGGGCGTCTGGGGCGGCGTTATATCCTGCCGAGGCGGCGCGAAGAGGCTGGGCTGGGCGGGCGGCGCCTGGACAAGTGGCTTGGGGGCATCGACAGCGGAGGAGCGGCGGCGGGTAAAGGTCGAGCGGCGAGGAGGGGTGCCGGGCAGTTGAAACTGCACCGTCTTGGGGAGGAACCTGGAGGGAGAACGGATAGGGTGTTAGGAAGGCAATGCGCATCAATGGCGGCAGAGACGTCAGTCGAGGTTGGGGGAGCATCTTACAGAGAGCAAACGAAGACGGTCATCTTGAATGCGTGTGATTGAGATCCAGTTGAAGAGATGTGGTTTGAATCTCCAGTCAATGGAGGCTGAGGCGCGCGTTGTCGATGCGACTTGCCGAGACGACGACAGGGCAGAGAGAAGGAGGGAGAGATGGCTCTGTTGGAGTGGAATTTTCGTTTATAGCAAAGCCATGAGGGCTAATGTGTAAAGCTGGGCAAGGACTCGAGTCGATGCGAGCGCGTCAGGCGCGGTGGGATGGGTGGTTGCTGGTATCGCTAGAGAGTCCAGGCCATTGGGTGGATGGTTGCGGAGAGAATGGCTGATGTATGAAGAGGGAGCGAGAGAGCGGATAGAAGAAGGCTTGGATGGCTGTGTTTTGAAGCAAGTAATGTGAGAGAAGAGGAGAGCCGTCGTCAGCGGAGCCAGCGTAGGGGAAGCTTTGCCTGCTTTAGGCCAGCCTTTTGGCGGGGAGCGCGTTTTGCGTGGGCTTTGCTTGCTTGCTTGAGGTGGGTAGCGTAACTGGTGACGCTAGCAGGAGGGCAGAGAAGCTTGGGAGAGCTTCAAGTCAACTCCACAAGAGAGGGAGGGGATGGTAACTAGACTTGGACAAGAGCGCCCAGTGAGAAGGATTGCTTTTGGTGGAGTGGGAACAGTAAAAAGGGTATTTTTGTATCCTCTTTTTTTCTGCTGGTAGTGGTGGTGATGAATTTGTTGCTGACGGCTGGCTGCCGAAGGAAAGCGTTCGTCGACGTAATAAAAAGGACGCCTCTGAAACCAAGGCGCCGAGGGCTGTTGGGTGGGCTGTCTGAGATCGAGATTTTAATCGCTCAAGAGACGGGGGTTTGTTGGCAACGCTGAGGATAAGGGGGAAGGAGAAGAAAAAGCTGATGAAAAATAAAATGACAAAAAATAGAAATAGAAATAAAAGGTCTTGGAATCAGTCGAGTCGACAACTAGATGGCTTCGATATCCTTGGATAGAGACAAGCACGTAATCAACGTACTTGAGCAGGAGCTTTCGTCCGAAGTGAGTGGATTCGAGTTGAAAGGCGCAAGCCACCTTCCAAGGACGGTTCTTGCTTTGCCTTGCTTGGCCTGACCGTTTTGAGTTTTTTTGTCTGTGCCGCTGCACGCCAACGACGGAGTAGATAGATGACTTCCGTCACTTTGTCGTCGACGACTTTTTGGTTGGCGGAGCCTTGAGTTGTTATCGTGATGGCTTCTTCCAAGTTGCCTGCCTACAAGGTTGTCGAGTGCCGACAGCCATTCTATTTATTGGTGTGCCCCTTTTTATTTTCCCGATCTATTCAATACTTCTGCATAATGCCCGCCGCTGCCGTCGGGCTGCGAAACCCGCTTCTCAATGGCCTCGTGGCAGCCCAACAGCAACGAAGACGAAGAACAACAACAATGCCATCCCCCCATGGCCCATGCGTGTGTGTGTGGCGGCCCCCTTGTGTCATGACCACTGGCTGGGAGGGGACTCTTCGGCGATGGGAAGCGATGCCAGTCACCTGCTCATAATTGATCAATTATTACTCCGTACAGGTGTCGCAGATTGGGGTATTTCCCTTTCCCCTCGAGCGCCGTCGCCGCCGCCACATAAGCTGTCTTGTCTTGTATCTTGTATCATGTATCTTGTACATGGCTTTCATCAACAAGAAAAAAATCAAAGTGAATGTCCGGGACAGGCAGTTAAAGCGAGGCGCTAGTCGAACGGCTGAACTGAATCTTCCCTGCACAGTGTCGCACTGTTGCAAATGGCGCATACAAGATAGCTAATACCCGTCCGAAGTTGTACGAAAAAGATGTAAATTTCATCATAAATCAACAAAATGAAAACAGATATACATATGTACAAAAATAAATCCGATACACTATCAGCACACCTTGAATCTTTTAACATAAACCCCTCATGCCCTCTATATGTACCAGTATGTATGTACATATGTACAAACGTAATGTATGTATGTATGTGCCCTTCCGCACCACCTAAACTCGGCTCCCTGGCGCTACCAATCATTCAAGAGGATGCGTCGTCCAAGACCTACGTTTGGTTGACAAACCATCCATTACCTACCTACCCCATGTCAACTCAACTTGTTATTCCTTTCAACTACATATTCTCCTTGTCACTTTGGCCTAGACTCCACCGAAACTGCAACGATGCAAACTGCCCCCCTCGTCTCCTCCTCATACCCCCTCCCCTCCCTTCGCGGGCCGCAGCCACACCACGATGGGCGTTGGGCCGCGCCCGCGCCGTCTTTCCGTCCGTCCGCCTGCCTCTCTTCTCCCTCCCGTCGATGGTCTTCTTTGTTTCTTTGTTTCTTTCTTTCTCCCCGTCTGACTGTAGTAGTTCCCTCGGATCCCTGTCTCGGTTCCCCAAATGAAAATCGCTCGTTTAAAAAATATCAAAAATAACCGCCTGCCTTAGTCTCGGCCCAACCACCCACCACCACCACCTGACTCACTGACCTACCTCGCTCGTGTAAGTCGTTTGGTCCGCGCTGAACAACACACCTCGCCCTTTCTCCTGCTGTGCGACGCAACAAGCGCTCTTCTTTTTCTTATCACTTTTCGTTCCTCGTCTTTCGCCTCCTCTATACCCTTTCCCTCCGCATAGGCTCCGCTGCCAAGTATACACACGGAAACGCCATCGCCGCCGCGCATGGCTTGGGCTCTCATAAGTCTCCCCCCCCCCCAACCTCAGCACCAGCCTCGCACAGCATCCTGCAGCGTAGCCTCACGGGGTCATGTCTGTCCCATCTGAAGCCTGCTTCTCACCAAGTTGTCTTTACCATCACTGCGTTTACCCTGTTCTTCTCCTCCCATGGTAAATCCAACACCGTGATCTTCTTCCTATCCTTGATTCTAAGCATAAACATTACCGCCCAACCACAACAAGAGCCTCAAGCTGCCAACGCCCGCAGATGACACTATTGTTTAGCACGAGCCTAATGTCTCACTCTATAACTCTTGGTACTGCGTTCCGGACCCTTTACTCTTCATCCCTCGCCCTCGCCTACCCCGGCCTTCCCTAGCTTCAGGTACTGGTCGATCCCCTCCCGCGCGCCTCCTTGCCACTCCTTCTTTCCCCAGCTTCTGTCTCCCATATCTCGTAGTCTCTTGGCTTGCATTCTCACTCACATGCTTATCCTCTACCGTGGATAACTCTACTGGTACGCTGCTTGAACCATGTCGCCCCGAAGAAGCCACACCGCGAACCCTCTACCACCCCATACCCACCTCCCAATGACAGGTCACCAAAATCACCGACAGCCATCCAAAACCACTTCACTCTGCAGATTCGGCACTCATATTCCAATAAAGTAGCTTCGCGGACTCGTCTATTATAACCCTCGTCCACGAGTATATCCCTCATCGCCATTGCCACGTCAACAGCCAGCCTTGCATCAGCATGGTCGCCATTCCGACATCCAGTCTCTCACAAAGAATTCTCCCGAATAGGCCATAAAATATGTAATAATATGCATTGCAGTTCCATTTCCCCTTTTATCCGCTTTTTTATTTTAAACAAATTAATTGCACCACAGCCGGACAGCCTTGTCCTTCCCGCCACTACCAACCTTTTTGCCATCTGGACTCCAATCAACGGCATACACTTCGTCTTGATGACCCGGCAAGTCCGAGGCTAGCTTATGTGTCGCCATCGACCACACCTTGAGTGTCGTATCCTTGGACGCTGTCACAAGCAGCCGCGAGTCAGCGGAAAAGGCGCACTGGTATACTGGTGCCACGTGTCCGCGGAGAGTATTGATAAATTTTCCGTCCCTGTCATCCCATGTTAGCAATGAACGACAGACCCTGATATGCGGCATTGATACTTACCTAGCATTCCAAAGCTTTGTGTGGTTGTCCCAGCCTGAGCTGGCAATCAAGCTTCCGTCTGGCGAAAACGTTACATGGTTGACCTGCTTTTGGTGACCAAGCATGCGCGCTACGGGCTTTGTCCCTTGTGACGGATCCCAGAGATACATGGTAAAATCATCGCTAGCCGAGACTAACCGCTCAGCAACTTTGCCCTGTATTTTGCCAGCTTTTTCGAATCGTTCCTTGGCCTTGCGGCGCTTCTCCTCCTCTGTTGTCGGCGTCGGCGTGTGATCAAAGTAGGCTGTTCGCAGCGCAAACTCGGTAGACAACGCCAAATGGTTAACCCAATGCGCATGGGAAGATAGTGTGTGCAGTAGTGTGCCGAGCTCTGCATTCCAAACTTTGACCGTCTTATCGTGGCTGGCTGTATAGATGTTTCCTGTGCCCCCCCATTTGACACAGCTGACGCTGCTCTTGTGTCCCGAGAGCACATGCTCCGTTGTGCCATTGTCTACAATCCATACGCGTACCGTCGAGTCCTTGCTGGCACTGGCTAACCGAGGCGTACCGTCTCTCCAGAGGTGATATGGCTCCCAAGCAATGTTTGTCACCCATTTGGCGTGGCCGCTGAACGTTCCACCAGAGACGGCCTTGCCAGTCACCGGATCCCACAGCCGCACTGTCTTGTCCATGCTGCCAGTCGCGAGTCGGCGTCCGTCCGGCGACCATGCAACGCAGAGCACCCAGCCCTTGTGGCCAGCCAAAGTGTATTTGGGCGTGCCGGTATCCGTATCCATGATTCTCGCGGTATTGTCGCCTGATCCTGTCGCAAGTAGGCTGCTAGTCTGGGGAGGAAATTGTGCTGCAAGAATGGCTTCGCCGTGCGCTGGAATGCGATGCGACATGCGGGTCACAGCTTTGACCTTGAAGACTGCTTGTGGCTCGGCACTCAGTGTAACCGTAGTTTCGAAAGGATTCTCAATTCCGTGGCTGCGCAGCAGTTGTAGCAGATCGGTAGGATATTGGTCAACAATGATGTCGCTGTCCGGGATGTGGATGCGGAACCGGTAAGGGACAAAGTCTTCCTTTTCCTACCCATGAGTTAGTGCGAGCCAGAATAGGGGCAGTATTCCTATCACATACCCTAGCGAGAAGTGTATTTAGAAGAAGCGACAAATTCTTCTCCGAAGCATCGGCGAGTGGCACCTCCACCAGTGCCTGCTGGTTGCCATCGGGATCGACGAATCGGGCCTTGAAGGAGCCCTCGGGTCCAGAAACTGCAGTCACATCTTGCTGAACACGAGAGCGCTCGAGCACCTCGCGGCGCTGCCTCTTAGACGGCGGAGGCAAGACTGTCGACATTTTGGCCTTGATTCGCAGTTTTGCAAGACTCAGGCTGATCTCAAAGTCGACGATTTTTGGTGGGGCAGCTGGCAAAATACAAGTAAAAATTTAGGCGGTGAATTTCTTCCAAGGCCAATTGGCTGAGGGCTGATGGACATACCTGTAACACTAAGCCTATTTAGACTGATAAGCTGCGGATAAGAGGTTGATAAGAAGTTGATAAGAAAGCTTTTGGAGTCGTGCCACTCCGACCCCTTCAACCAAAAGCCCAACCGAGTGCCATAAGAAGCGATCTCATCACGCCAGTGCCGCTGGAGCCAGAATGAAACGACTGATAAAAGGAATGGATTGGAAGAGATTAGTGCGCTTTAAGAAATATCATCTGACTCGCTGCCGCTATCATTTACCTGCTGTCTATAAGAGAAGTGAGATACCTGACAGGGAATAATACACACTGCCAGCCACTGTATCGCAAGCCTATTTGGCCTTCAGTGTCAAAAGTTTAGGGGTTCGGTCTTCGGCCACCTCTGGGACCATATGTAAAATTTTGAAATTGCGCCGATTCGACATTTGGCATGGCCATCAGCGCTTGCGGTGGTGGAGCTGCCGGGCCCGGCTGGAACTGTGTCGTACCCATTGCTTGTGGTGCACCAGGCGGTTGTCCGCCAGGATGCGTCTGGTTTGGTTGACGTTGTTGGTTGACGTTTCCATCCGCGTTAATGCTTCGTCTATGCCTTTTGACTGCTCTTGGTACAAGAGCAACAGTTGTCTCCGGCACTGTATTTGCTTCGGCCTCTCGTCGCTTCTCCAGAAGCTCCTGACGCCGCTGACGCTGCACCTCTTCATTCTGAATGGCATACAAGGCAGCCATGCGAATCTGCATACTTGCGAGCAGTTGCATGCGTTCAGCTGGCGGAAGCTTTTTGTAATCCCTTTTTAGCTGAGTGAATGTGTCTCCGTTCAACCGTAGAGCGTTTTCTGATACGCCAGCAGCTTGAAGCGCAGATGAGATTTGAGACGTGATTGTTGGCCCCTCTGTCACTGCGCTTATTAGTAAACTTCAGGGTAACCCGTTGGAAAAGTCATACTTGGGAGTTCCGCATCTCCCGCCTCATCGCCGCTGAGGTCTGGCGTGCGCGGCTCATGGTTGTGCTGGTCACAGACGATGGTGAGCACCCATCCTCCAACCGACGGTTTGTGATTTGCCCTTGCTTTCCATGGACAGCCCGTCTTCTTTGTTGACGTTTTGTAACTTGTTGCAGAGGACCTGTATCGGCCACCACGGTCACAAACCAAGTCAGCGCGGACAACGTCGTTGTTGGCCGGGTCTCCCCCTTTACGAGATTTGGAGGAGCCTGCCTTTACGACTTTGTAGCCCTCTCTTCTCATCCGCTCGTTTAGTTTCGTGATCAGCTCGTCGATGCTGCTATGCACCTCCGAGCGGGGAATCGATATAGATTCCAAGATGCCAAACATTGTGGCCAGCACCTCGTAGTGTGCAGTACGAGGGGACTGTGAGCAGCTTGTGGTGATGACGCCTGTTGCCAAACGCTCGACACGACACATGCGCCGGGTATAATATGTGGGGCCATGAGCACCTCCCCGTTTACAACCAGACATCTTCGCCGTTTGTCGCATTGCGTTGCACTTTTCTCATCCTTTTTCTTCTCCACGCGCTCATAAGATTATTCGCCATAGCATAGATGGAGCGTTCAAGGATAAAATCGCGCGCGTTGATGCCGAGCATATCTTCTTGGTATTTCCCGAGCTCGACCGCATCTCGAAGCGATACACCTGCTTCCTCAAAGACTAGCCATCCAAACAAGGGTACTGCACCAAGAATCTCCGCTCTAAAGAGACAACAACTGCCACAAGCCGCCTCCAATTCGCCATCAGCGTCGACCTCTAATCTCGCTCCGTCAGAAATATTACCTTGCATCAGTCGCCCCACGACGGCCTCTGGTCGGAAATCGCGGGCCACCAATGCTTCTTCCATCCTGGGAATAGGCGAAGCCCATACCATTGTCTGTGCAGTTTGCGAGGCGCGCGGCGTCTCCCCATCCGTTGGCATTGCTTTTGTTAATACGTCAATCGGTGAGGCCATCCTAAGTCAAATTTGTGATAATCAATCCTATGTGAAAACTCTTCACAAGATTCGGGTCAATTGGCCGTCGCGAATCGTCTGCTTGGCCCAAGGCACAAAATCAACCAGCCTGACGCCGCTCCTGCGCACCATGTTTCCTGACACCCCTATCTATGAGACGGACCGTTCATGTTGGTCCGAAGCCAAGGGTTTGGAATACATAAATAAGCTAGCCTTCGAAACTGATATTCAACCAATCCAAGTTGCGATCCAGGGGAAATACTACGCCGTGAGCGCTCTTGCCGCGGTACGACTGAAATTGGCTTTTGATGTTCGGTTCTCTAACATGATTAGGCCATGGCTCAAATCGAGCATCAGTTCTCTATAACATTTGCGCCGCATTCGTTACGGCTACGCTACCAACCTTCGGATGATACCATGATGATCGACATATCCGCAATCCAATGCTTGGAAATTGTTCAAAACAGTCATTCAGCAAAATCAAAAGATAGTTTATATGGTCTGCTCAATCATTGTGTTACCCCGATGGGAACTCGAATGCTGCGTAGCAACATCCTTCAACCGCCCACGGTCTATGAATCGTTCATGGCTCCACGCTATGAAGCTGTGGAGGAGCTAACAATAAATGACGAAATGTTTTTAGGGATTCGAAAGAGTGCGGCAATCTGCGCTCCTCATCTATGGCGTGTGCTAACGATTTGACTACTAAACGCTAGTTTTGAAGAGCTTTCTTGATGTGGAAAAACTACTTACCAAGGTAAGGCTTCGCCGCGCCGCAGTGACCTATCAGTGGCTAATTGAAGCCTAGTTAATCACCATTCCCGTGATATCAGCAATTTCGCAAGCAGAACAACAGATAAATCAAGTTCTCATGATTAAGTCATTCTTGGAAGCGGCTAAGGAGCTTCACATAGCTATGAGCTCGGCGACTGCCCCCCTCCTCGTCAAAATACGGGAGCTCTGTAGCCTCGAGCGGATCGCTACGATGCTGCAAAAGATAAACACAGTACTGGAAGCTGACGTGGCATTTACAAAATCAGCCCTTGATTTACGAAACCAGCGTACCTTTGCTGTGCGGTCTGGAATTAGTGGCGTATTGGACGTCTCCCGGCAAGCCTACAAAGAATTGACGGAAGAGATTCACCATTACGTGGAGCAACTAAACGGTGAGACCTTACATCAGCCGGAAGGGTTTATGCTTATTTTTCATTTTAGAAAGGTTTGGGGTAGTGGCAGCGCTGAAGTTTGATAACGGCCGGAAATACTGGCTGAAGCTGAGTATTCGTGACTACAACTGTGTCGAGTCTGGCCTCCTGATCAATGTTGCCAAAAAGCGAGGCGCCATTGAATGTCAAACTCTTGACCTCGTAAAACTGAATATGCGCCTGTCGGACACTTCAAACGAGGTAGTGTTTCGCAGTGATGCCATTATCGAGCAGCTGGTTGGCACCCTACAAGCAGACGCATCTCATCTCTTCAAAATGTGCGAATCAGTCGGCCTCATGGACATGCTTGCTTCATTTACCCAGTTAAGTACGACGCGCGACTATGTGCGACCAGAAATTACGAACAGGTTGGCGCTAAAATCGGCAAGGCATCCGATACTTGACAAGGTACGAGCACTTACATGGGGCCTGAATTATCCGCTGACAGAGTCAGATACTTGCAGAGCGATTTGTACCAAACGACTACTTTGCCACAGAACAGCATTGCTTCCATATCGTGACCGGCTTCAACATGGGCGGCAAGAGCACATATACTCGAGGAGTTGCGCTACTCCAGATTATGGCGCAGATTGGCTGCTTTGTTCCAGCGGAATATGCATCCTTCTCAGTTATCCATAATATCTTCACACGCATTTCTTTGAACGATAATATTGAAGCAGGTCTATCTAGCTTCTCGGTCGAAATGCGCGACATGGCATTCATCTTGCGTAACGTAGACGAGCAAAGCATGGTCATCATCGACGAACTTGGCAGAGGCACAAGCACGCGTGACGGCCTTGCCATTGCCATCGCTATGGCAGAAGCATTGATTCAGTCGAAGGCTTTTGTGTGGTTTGCTACTCATTTTCTGGACCTTGCACGCGTACTGGCGAACCGACCAGGCGTTCTGAACTTGCACCTAGCTTCCAACTGCTCAGTTGGCGAGGATGGGGTGCCGCACGTAACAATGCTTTACAAGACCGAACGCGGCCCCGAAAGTGACGAGCAGAATTATGGCATCAACCTCGCCAAGGCGATGGGGCTCCCGCAGACCATGATAAGGAAGGCGGAGGAGTTTGTCCGCGCGAGCAGGCTGCGAAAAGAAGCAAACAGAAGAAACTCGGGAGCAGAAAAGCTACAGCGACGGCGGCAGCTGATCCTCAGTCTTCACGAAGCGCTGAAGCAAGCGAGGATTGACGGTGCGGAGGATGCTCTGCCCGGCTATCTTAAGCAGCTGCAACATGAATTTGTCACGCAGATGGCGGCAATTGAGGAGGGTGACGGATGAGAAGTAGCCTGTGTGGGTGACTGTGATTTGACTTTTTTGATTGAGGTGGAAGCTAATGAGGTCAAGCCATGTGATTGCTATTCATACATTATCGGTCTGGCATTTGCGTTGGAGCTCTGCTCGCAACATGGCTGGAGGTACTACTACTATATACAAAAAGTGCTCCAATTTCCGTTAAGCGCAAGAATTAAAGATGGTATTTCTTAGGCATACTTTGTGGTTTCATCGTCGCTCCATTGCCAGAACCTTCTGGGGATCGCATCCGGGTTCGTCTTGTTGTCCTCGACGATTTTGGCCAGGTCAGGACGGACGTAATCGTTGCCGAGACGGCCCCAGGGAATAATGAAGGATCCTCCCTTTTCCATGGTGATGTCCGGGCTCCAGCCGCAGAACAGCTCGGTGTAGGCGCCGTTGCGCGGCGGGTAGCCGAGGTAGGTGAGGGAGGCGTGGACGAAGCCGGGCAGGTGCCGCTGCAGGCCGCTCTGGAGGTTGCCCGGGTTGAACGTGACGCTGACCACGCCGTCCTTGGCGTGCCTGCGATGAAACTCGACCGCGTAGAACTGGTTGCCCGTCTTGGACTGGCCGTAGTTGGTCTGCGTGATGCGATGGTTCTTGGGCACGCCCTGGTCGTCAAGGGCGACGCCGCCGGCCGGCGAGAACAGGTTGTTGGCGAGCGACGAGGCCCAGATGACGCGGACCGAGTCCTTGGCCGCCGTCCGGGCCGTCTCGACGAGGAGCGGGGTGAGCAGCTTGGTGAGCAGAAAGGGGCCGAGGCAGTTGGTGGCGAGCTGCATCTCGTGGCCCTGGGCGCTGGGCTCGGCGGCGGGCGGGAACATGACGCCGGCGTTGTTGACGAGCACGTCGAGGCGGCGCTCGCGCGCGAGGAAGGCGTCGACGGCGGGCCGGACGGTGCGCAGGTCGGCGAGGTCGAGAGGGAGGAAGTCGAGGCGGCCGGTGGAGGAGGGGTGCAGGGCGCGGGCGCGGGCGATGGCCTCGTCGGCTTTGGATCGGCTGCGCGCGGCGACGTAGACGGTGGCGTTCTTGGAGTACAGAATCTGCATGAGCTGCTCGCCGACGCCCGAGTTGGCGCCAGTGACGAGGTGCACCCGGCCGGCCTGGTCCGGCAGGTTGGCCTCGGTCAGGGGCGGGCTGGGGATGAAGGCGGACTGGGGGACGGATTGGGTGAGGTAGTGTAGACCGAACATGTTGAACTATTAGGGTCAGGCGATGATGGATCAAGTGTGTATAAGATGGATTGGTTTGGATCGCTCAAGTAAATCGGATTGCTTGTAGAGCTTGGAGCTTGGAGCTTGGAGCTGGAGCTTGCGGGGGGCGGAGATGAAGAAGTTTCGTTTGCTCTCAAAGGGGATGAGGACAAGATATATAATGGCCCGTGTGATCTGCTTGTTACAATGGGGGTCTTTTACTTTTTTACTTTTTTTTTACTTTTAACCCATCTATTAAATCCACTCCAACACGAACCGAGCGTGCAACAAGCTGCGCGTCCATTCCTCTGTTTCGGCAATTGCTATGCAGCAGAGTCAAACGCTAAAGTTGGCAGCCCTAGTCTCAGTTCGCCCATTGCATGTAACCTTGGAAAAAGCAGTCGACATGGAGCTGAGAAAACAAGCTTTACCTGCGACCCAGGCAACCCTAGACGAACGTCACGAACGGGGGCGGAGACATGCTTGATCGGCCGGTTCTTGGCCCTCCTCGGCGTTATCTCCGATGGATGAACTGAAGTATCCGGGGACGATTCCCACACCTCCAGGCTAGAGAGCCTTGTGCGCCGTCGCCGCCGCACCGGGTGACCGGGACCCGTGCCCCGGGTAAGAGCAGCGGCTGTCGTGTAATCCATCCGTATTGTGAATTAGTATCCGTACGCACAAAGATTCTGTCTGGTACATGCGAATAGTGGTGAACCGGATTATGGGGAGCACCACCACCTAACACCAGAGACACGAGCCACTATAACTTTGGCGAGGGAACACAAGCCAGGGATCTGAGTATGTATCTATGTTGTGCTCTAACTCATGTGCGCTTGTCTCGGGTGCATTCTGCGACCGACCCCTGCTTATGTATTCGAGCAGTGTGATGCTGTTACCAGCGCTTCATCCTCGCTCTGGTTCTCTCGTTGGCAGCTCACTCTCGCGGCTAGCTATTCAAAATTCCATGACCAAGTAATAAATGGTTTTAATTGTCTTCTCGAGGCCGCGACAAGTAGGAAACACGGCATGTGTGTCCACGGCCCAGCCAGGTTTATCCTCGCAAAGACATGTTTCAGGCTTCGCCAATGTTGGTCGTGTTTTTCTTTTTTAACACAATTTTCATTTCGCAGTTGAATCAATTCATACGTAAAGTTTGCATGCGTCTGGCCTCGCATCGAGTTGAGCTATCATATTTTACAAAACAGCGAGTCACACAGGTTCACGAGCTACGAGCTAGACTCGCCCTCCATGAGGAGAACGCCTTCGAACAGGAAGGATCCTAACACTTAGAAGAGGAGTAAATAAATGCATGATAATTACTCAGCCGCTCGTACAATCCTTTTATCTTGCTGTAGTCGTATTCCTTTGTAGTTCATCTTTCTCAGTCTTCCGCGGCTGCTTTCGGTTGATGGCGATACCCTTCTGACATCGGTCGACCTACCAGCTCGTCCGGAGCGAAGTAGCGGAATAATCAGCCGTTTGCCTGCGTATGTTTATATTCATGCTGAGTTAGCTTACCTCCTCTCGAAATTACTTGACTCTTAAGATTAAACCCGGCGGCCATCAAGCATCCCACCCACCCACCACCGCGTGTCATTCTTCATCATGCCCAGTCCGGCTACAGCTTCACCTTATTTCTTAAACTGGGTGCAGATGCCGCTTGATCCTTATCTCCCCCGCGGCGGCCTCGGCATCACGGGCTTCGGCCTAACCTGCCGCCATCAGCGCGCAGGTGACGCGGCCGGGACGCGCTTGTCGTCGACGGCGACGGCGGCCCGGGTCCCTTGGCAGGACCCCTACAGGAGCCATCCACCGCCTGCGGCTCAGCCCACCTCCGTTGAAATTCGTCGCGCGGAGCTAGCAACCTGGACCCGGGGGCTGGGTCGGGGGGTGCCCAGGAGCTGACGATGCACGTGGACGGCATGGTTAGATGAGACTTTTTGATCATATTTGGACAAACGTATCATGTGAAGCCCTCGTCAGGACCTCTTGTCAAGGTATCATGGCGGTTTTGTTTTCCGCTGTATGTAAAGCGTCCGAGACTTGTCTCATTCAGATGGAGACAGGCCGACGCAAGGGAGTTCCCGCAGCAGCTGTTTTACGTTGATCCGATGCCCACTCCAGTTCTGGGGTTGACAGGTTTGTCGTTGTCAACAGAGAGAAAGGCCATCCTCCTTCGGACAGGGGAAATAAAAGTCTGGATTTACCCCAGGTTGGTGTCGTCGTCGTCCGGTCGGTGCGGAAGCTGAACCGGATCAAGCAAATAAATCGGCCGAAGACAAAGTCTTCTAGCTCTGTGTTTGGCGGCGGCGGCGGCGACGGCGCTGTGATGAACTTGGTCCGCCAAGGGGATTATCTCATCCTGACAATAATGCGACGTCGCCATCATTTGGGAAACACTGCAGTTTCGTGGCATGGATGTACGGGTAGCTTGATCTGCGGCGAATGGCACGGGCAGAGGCGAAGAAAAAAACAAGAATCGGGCGGAGGTGACACGAATCTCAGCCTGCATGTCTTGGCCATGCTCTGGGTACAGCCACGTCGCAGCCACAATTTAGGATAATAATCTCCAGCGTATTCCTGGAATCCTAGGGTCCCTTTTTAGCAGGCCGCGGCGCCCGGGCCGAGGCCGGAATGGACTTGTCGGACAGGGCGCCGCCGTGCAGGGGTTGGCAATGACAGAATTCATTCATATTTGGAGTCTTTTTTATTACAGTCGTTGTCTTCCAACACCTTGTCTTATCAGTTTCGTCTGTTTCTCATGAAACTGCCGCATCGTCATCGTCCTCTGCAGCCTGACTCAGCCGACAACTGACTGATAACACAGAGTTGCACATTGCCTACTGGTATACGTACAACCGATGTACCTGCCTATCCACAGCGCTAACCGAGTTTCATTTTCACTTGCAATTACTTTGTTGTCAAGTCTTCAAAAGCCTTCTTCCTTGTTCTTTCTGAGTGGCGCATATCACACCATTGCACTAGAGACAACCAGAGAGACACTAAAAGGACGCCTATCCTGCCAGCCGGCTTCTGTCTGTTTAGAAAGGGCCGAGAGAGAGCAAACTCACAAGAAAAGGAGAAAAGGCCGCTCGTCTTTTGCCCCTCTTTGCCTCGCCGACTCTCTGAGGGCCCGCCCATCTAACTCGCTGCCCCTCTCGCCGAAGAATCTCTTGTTCGTCAGATAGACTCTTGTTGCGTCAGAGGGTAAAGAAAAAAAAACTGCCGTAAACACCGCACACACAACCAGCCAGCCACAACCCGAGCACGCGACAACTTTGTTTTAATTTCCCCAACTCTCCTTACAACTTGTTCTTCCTAGCATCATTGCTTCTCCTTTTCTTTCTCGCTCGTTTTGCCGTCATTGCACTTTGCAGACATGGGCTCAACGCTGTCTCTGCCCCCCGCCGCCGACAACGCCGTCAACGCCGAGCGCCGCCGGGTCACGCCGGCCTCGGCGCCTGCAGTCAAAACACCACCATCATCATCACCACCAAGCGACGGCGACAGCGATAGCGACAATGGCGCAACGCAAACGGCCTCAGCGGCAGCTATCCAGGCACAGCAATTAACCCCGCCTCCCTCGCCGCCGTCCCCCTCCGCATACACATTTCCCGCCGCCAAGCTCAAGCGCCGCCTCACCCAGCCCGGCAAGACGCCCCTCGTCCTCGTCGCCTGCGGCAGCTTCTCGCCCATCACCAAGCTGCACGTGCAAATGTTTGAGCTAGCGGCGCGACACGTCCCGCGGACCGAGTTTGAGATTGTCGGCAACTATCTAAGTCCTTGCAGGTGAGCCGTCCTCCCCCCTCACTCCCCTCCGGACCAACAACCCCCCAACTGACCAACAAACAAACAAACAGCGACGCCTACAACAAGGCATCCCTCGTGCCCGCCCACCATCGCCTGCAGATGTGTTCCCTCGCCGTCGACGGCCTCCCCATCCACGTCGACGACTGGGAGGCCACGCGCGTCGACGCCGCCGGCCGCCCGCTCTACAGCCGCACCGCCGACGTCCTGCGGCACTTTGACTCGGCCATCAACGACGACCTCGGCGGCATCCAGGCTGCCACCGACGGCACCGCATCGCCCCTGCGCGCCCGCATCGTCCTGCTCATCGGCGCCGACCTCGCCCTCACCATGAGCAACCCGCGCGTCTGGGCGCCCGCCGACATCGACGTCCTGCTCGGGTACTACGGCGCCTTCGTCGTCGAGCGCCCCCACCAGTGCGACGTCCGCGACGCCATCGCGCCGCTGCGCAGGTACAGGCACAACATCTGGGTCGTCGATGCCTTCGAGAACGACGTCAGCTCGACAAAGGTTCGCGCCCAAATACAGAATCGCGAGCAGTCCATGGACATTCCCGGCGCCGTCTTCAAGTACATCAAGTTGCATCGTCTATACCTCGAGTAGACACCGATAGATACATACGGCTTCTTTTTTCTTTTTTTCGTTGCTCTACCGTTCTCGGCCCATCATTGCTTTTTTTTTCGGCCTATGAGTCTTGCATTTACACGAGACTTTGTTTGTCTCTGGCTGTTTCATTCTTCGTCACGACTCCAACGCCAGCGTTGCCTACTGCATAAGTCTACACAAACCAGGATTAATGCCATCATTTTATACCCTCTATGTCTAAAAACCTAAAGCATACATACATATCTGTACCCATTCAGTCGTAACCATTCTTTTCCTCATTGCGCGTACAAAATCCACTCATGCGGCCGCAGAGTGTCTGACACCATGCTCTGCTCGCTAATCTTCATGTCCTTTTGGCCCAGTCGTACCCAGTATCCCGCATGCGCGTTGCCCTTCTCAACCGGCCGCCAGAAGCGCTCATATCGAGCCCCGTCTGAGACATGCTCCACCGTCCTGCCAGGCGTTTCACGCGCGACTTGGCACTGTTCCACGTATATCGAGCTCGGCACGGCGAGGGCGAAGTCGGCCACACGCGCCGGCAGCTGCCGCACCATGGCGTCGACGCGCCGCATCAACAAGCGCTCCACGGCGTCGTCCGGCCCGTTTCCCGGCCACCACGGACCTGTGACTTGGGGCTCCCGGCCGGTCCACTGCACGGAGATGTAGAGCGTCTTGAGACCTCGAAATGACGACAGCACGGCCCGCAGCATAGCCTCGAACACCCCTATCAGCTCCTTGGCCTTGCTGGGAAAGCTCTCTGCCCACGGCGGACGCGACCCAAAGTCCCACAGCACTTGAAGCGAGGTAATGGCGGCCAACCGCTGTGGTAGCAGGAGCCGATCGGCGTCGAGAATCAGGGCCTTGCTGGCAGTGTGTATCGTGTTTGTGCCGTAGAGAATATCGATGCCTTCTAAGTAACTGTGGCGTCAGTGTTAGCGCAGGTTCATGCCATGCGTGAGGGAGAGGTCATAGCTCTTACGCTTGTCGGCAGGACCGCAGCCAGCCCATGGCCCCAATACGGCACTTTTCTGGACTGACGCCCGGCCACTGACTGCATGTATCGTCCGGTGTGATGCCGCTTCGACACAGGTCCTGGCAGGGCTGAACGCTGTGGCGGCCGCCATCATCTTCCGTGCCCGGGGGATTACGGTGGCAGACGGAGCCGTGCCAGAACCAAGTCTGGCGCGCCGTCGTGTCGAGCACGGGGTAGGACTTGCCGTCACCAGCCCTGCTAGGCTCTATGAACAGGCCGCCATGACCAGGGACGGCGCGTTCGTGGGCGACAGGCTGGCTCCGCCACGGCGGGTAGCTGAGCAGCACGTCCATATGCAGGGTCCGCTCGCCAAAGGCCGCCGTCAGGATCTGGATGCGGATCTCGGCGGGGAGCTTCTGGAAGAGGGGGCTGTTTGCCGTGCCGTCGAGCCGGGGCTGGGTCGAGAGGAGGTTGGTGGTCGAGGGCGTCGGCGTCAGGGCGTGCTTGCGCCGCCTGGGCAGCACGGGCGGGCCGTCATTGACGAAGCCGTGAAGCCACCCGGAGAGGCGGCCGGCCATTGAGGACGGATGGTGAGGGGTTGCGAGGCGAATGCGGGGGTTGAGGGGAATCGAGGCATCTGGATTCTCCGAAGAAATCCAAACGGAAAGACAGAAAAAAGGCTCAACTTTCGAGGAGCAGGGAAACGGCAGGTCCCTCGAGTCCTTTTACACGATCCTGTTCTGGTGTGGCGTTGACGCGCATAGAGATGCAGTCATTAGGCACGACAGCGTCAGGCGTCGAACAAGGTGGCATCAGCCAGCAACGGGCGTCACAGTCCGGCTTCCGGTAGCGCCTGGCCGGGGCGCACAGGGAGGGGATGGTAAGGCACCGTGCAGATGTTGTGTGCTCGCATTGCATCTGCTGCTAACGAGGTAATGAGTCCACGGAGGGTGGATAAGGGCTTGCGGTAGCGGGAGGAGGAGGAGGAGCCATGGTCCCTTGTCCTTGTTCGAGGACGAAAAGTGATGAGTGGATGAGTGGTGCGTGATGAGCGCTGGGAAAACGGGTTAGCTGCTGTGCTGCCCCTCATTACCGATACGTACCCAGGGGAACAGGTCAGGGGATCGGATCATCAGGTGTCAAAGAAATGGCAGTGACAGATTTAGTACATAGATGGCTTTGGGCAAATATTTGACACGTCATAATCAAGCGCGCAAAGCGAGTAAATGCAAATATGCGAGAAGAAATTATTTGAACACGTCGACAATGGGCGAACAGGACATCATCTGTCGAACGCCCTCCAACTTGAACCCCACCATGCATCGCCACACTAAGCTCGGCATCTGCTAGCTTCACACCATACGGCCGAGCCAGCTATACTGGGCTGCTGCCGATACAGCTTTTAAGCTTCGCCCATTCGCTCAATCTGTCCATCCTCAGCTGGCCATCTCATCACCGGCTCTTGATACGTTTGGTTGTGAGGTGAGAGCTGGCGGGGCTCTGCACAGCCTCCAACCACCACCTCCTCCTCGAACCTCCTCCAATCTCTCGCCTCCTCACCAACCTTAGCTCCAAACAACTTACCATACACATACACCTCCGCCATGTCTGAGCTCTCCTCCCGCTTCCATAGCCTCCGTGTCTCCCTCAAGGGCGGTGACGTCGTCGACGAGGACCTTGGCGGCGCCATTGGCCACGACTCCGTTGGCGGCGGCGGTCGCAGCACCGTCCGCGCCGACCACGAGATCGCCAAGCTGCGCGTCAGCCACGCCTTGCGCGCCTTTCTCGTCGACCGCGGTGTCCTCTCGGAGCAGGATGCGAACCTCGACGATGAAGGTGACAATGTCCGCACCCCGGCCCTGGCCACCATGCTCGCCCGCGGCGACTTCGTCGCGCCCCCGGACCTCGTCGACCGTGACCACCCCCTGCCCGAGTACTTCGTGAGCTCCTCCCACAACACCTACCTCATGGCGCACCAGCTCTACGGAAAGTCCTCCGCCGAGGCCTATGAGACGGCCATCCGCACCGGCTCCCGCTGCGTCGAGATTGACGCCTGGGACAACAGCGAAAACAAGGAGGAACCGAAGGTCACCCACGGCTACACCTTGGTGTCGCACATTTCCTTCCGCGCTGTCTGCGAGACGATTCGCGACATGCACGACGAAGAGGCCGCCATTTCCGCCAAGTATCCCGACCACGCCCCTACGCCCATCCTACTGTCATTGGAGAACCACTGCGGCCCCGAGGGACAGAAGCGCCTCGTCGAGATCATGCACGAAGTCTTTCAAGACCGCCTACTCTCACAACCGCTCCGCCAAGAGCTCATCGAGCGCCACGCTGAAGAACACAAGGCTGACGGCCTCGAGCACGACCCGGCCGAGCACGTCACCCTCAGAGAGCTGGGCGACAAGATTGCCGTCATCGTCGAGCATCATTTCGGCGACGACGTCTTGGACAGCGACTCCCAGAGCGAGTACGACGAAAACGACGAAGAGTATGACGAAGCCGAGCGCAAAGCCCGCGAAGCTTACAAGGCCAACAAAAAGGACGAGGCCAAGAACAGCCAGGTCATCATCCCCGAGCTCGCCGCCCTCGGCGTGTACGCGCAGTCCGTCAAGCCCCGCGACAACACGTGGTTCGACCCGGGCGAGCTGCTCGACGGGCCGCACCACCACCTCATCAACGTCTCCGAGTCGGGCCTCGCCGACCACATGCCCCTCCACGCGTCCCGCATCGCCGTCCACAACGGCCAGCACATGATGCGCGTGTACCCCAAGGGCACGCGCATCAGCTCCTCCAACCTCAAGCCCGTGCGCTTCTGGGGCATCGGCGCGCAGATCTGCGCCCTCAACTGGCAGACGTTCGGCACCAGCAACCAGCTCAACGACGCCCTCTTCGCCGGCTCCGACGGCTACGTCCTCAAGCCCGCCGCACTGCGCCAGGGCGGCACCGGCTCCCTGCAGACCGGCCGCCGCCGGCGCCTCCGGCTGCACGTCGGCGGCGCCACCGACGTCCCGCTACCGGACGACCGCGAGGGCCACACGCTCAAGCCGTACCTGACGTGCACGCTGTACAGCGCGCTCGCCGAGGCCGGCGCCGAGGTCCCCAAGCGCAAGACGGAGGCGTACAAGCATCACAGGCTGGGCTTCCTCCACAGGGGCGAGAACCCGCCCGCGACGGACCCCGTCTGGGACGAGACGCTCGAGTGGACGTACGAGGACAACGAGCTGGTCTTTTTGCGCATGCTCATAAAGAGCGACGACGCGTGGGCGCGGAACCCCATGTTCGCTGTGGCGGCCGTGCGGCTCTCGTACACGGCGCCGGGGTGGACGTTTGTGAGGATGCTGGACATGCAGGGCCGAGAGACAAAGTGCACGGTGCTGCTGAACTTTGAGATTCAGGACGTATCGGCGGCGTCATGATGTGATTCTACTCTCTATTTACGAATTTTATGCCATTTACGTTGATATGATAAGAGATGTATTCTCCGAGGAGACCGGTGAACCCCCGGTTTTCTGCGTTCACTGACCTCACTTACCACAGCCTTTCCCAGCATCGCCGCCAGCGCCTTGCGCCAATTCTCCTCCACGCCGCACTCCTCCCACCGCGCGCACTCGGCGTCCGCCTCGGCCCTGCCGCTCACCAGGTCCGCCTCCTCGGGCCGCACCAGGCTAGTCCCCTTGTAGAGTTTCCAGAACGCGAACAGGGCCGCGCTGTACGCCATGCAAAAGTAGCTCGTGACAAAGGCCTGCGGGTCGAACAGGCCGACGGTGTCGAAGCCGACGAACAGCCAGCGCCAGGCAGCCGAGCAGCAGCGCGAGCCACGGCCAGGCGGGCGCGAGCGGCGCGACGCACGGCAGGTCGGCGTCACGCAGGCCCTGGGCGCGACGCGCGCGGTGCCACCCGAGGAAGACGGCGGCCATCATGGTGCAGGTCATGACGAGGCCGGCAGTGACGAGGTCGACGAACTAGTAGAAGACGCGCGCCGCCGATGCGGACGCGACGAGGAACGTGACGCAGGCGAGCGCGGAGACGGCGGCGACGCAGCGCGGGGGCACGCCGGTGCCCGCGGCGCAGCGCGCGAGCCCGTAGAGCGTCCGCGACGAGGCGTACAGGTACGCGTTGCCGCAGGACCAGCCGGATGTGAGGATCAGCGCGCTGATGAGGTGCGGCAGGCCGCGGAAGCGCAGGCGCTGGATGCGGATGACCCACGGCGAGGCGGCCGCGCCGGCGGGTGCGTGTTCGGCGGCGGCGGCGACAGCGCTGAGGAGTCGGGGGTTGCGCGAGCTGCAGATGATGCCGACGGCCAGCACGCCGACCCACGTAGAAGCCGATGATGCGGTAGAAGATGAGCCGCGCGACCCGCGGGATTGTGCGCCGTGGGCTCTGAATCTCCCCAGCCGAGAGCGCAATCACGTCGGGCCCCGAGATAGTGAACCCGGCGTAGAACACGGCCTCCCGGAAGCGGAGGAAGCGGCCAAGGTCACCCGCCGCGTGGTATGAGTGCATCGCGTCGCCGCTCGTCTAGTAGCGGAAGCCGTACACGTCGCCGTCCGGGTTGCCGCCGAGCATGCTGACGAGTGTCAGCAGGAGCAGCCCCGCCAGCAATAGCACCTTCAGGGAGGCCATGACGAACTCCGCCTCGCCGTACCACCGCACGGCGGCGACGTTGACGAACGCGCACGTGGCCAGGGTCGCCGCGATCCAGACGGCCGGCCTGACGGCCATCGTCCAGTACTGCGCGACGGCCGCGACGGCGCTGTACTCGAGGCACACGAGCATGACGCCGGCGTAAAAGTACGTCCAGCCCATGGCGAAGCCTAGCGCGGGGTCGACGAAGCGCGCGGCGAGCTCGAAGATGGAGCCGGGGACGGGCAGCAGCGCGTGCATCTCGGCGACGCACAGGTGTAGATGGGCCACACGAAGAGCGTGCCCAGAGGAGGTAGCCGAGGAGCAGCGATAGCGCGCCGGTGCGCGAGAGCGCGCCGGCGACGCCGACGAAGAGCGCGGTGCCGATGGAGCGCCCGATGGCCATGAGCTGCGCGTGGCGCGAGGTGAGGCCGCGCCGCGTCTGGCCGTACTGCTGGTCGAGCTGCGTCGTCGTGGTGTCCGAGGAGGCAGCCGCGGTGACAACAGCGGCAGAGACAGGCTTGTCGGGTGCGATGCCATCGTCGTCGGGGCCGGAGATCTCCGCCGGTTCGATGTCGGGCTGCATTTTCTTCCGCTATCCAAGCCGGCGAGTTGTGAGAGTGCGGCGGAACGAGCGCCAATAAGTTCTCCTCAGGTGAGACAAGTGTCGCCATCGGGACTTTCAGCTTCTTCTTCTTTTCAGCTGCAGTAACGGCACGGCAACCCCACGCGCCGTACCTGCAAAGCTATCATCAGCCGCTCCCTCTCCACGTTTTGGGGGCCATCGATCGGCACGTCCTCCATGAGAGCAGACACCGGAAATCGGAGCTGTATCTCCGGTCGACGACTTGGCCAGATGCGGGGGAAACCCTTTTAACCGCAGGCTGTATGTACTCTGTTCTTGCTATCATAGTTAGCAGACTTCAAGTTATAGAATGAGGAAGTATAGGTGTTCGCATCAGATGGCTTCCAGGTACAACGCATGATCGGGGGCCATGATTTAGCTCCCACGTTACCCCAGATGTATGATAGCGGCCAGGCTCTAGAGAAGGCCCGTCCTTGACATGGGTCCTTTTCGTTGTCGGGTACATCCGAATGAAATCCGCTGTTGGACTCATTGAGCCACCTTGCAGCTGATGCCCTTTAGAATAAGCCAAGCCCCTCTATACCTAGGCAAATTACTCTTTCCACGGTCAAGTCTTTCTCAAATCCGCCGTCGTTTTTTCGTAGATCAATCTGCGGGGTTAGATCTTGCGGAGCACCTGGTGTCCTCCACCGAGATGCGCGGACACGCGATTCGCGCAATGATATTTCGCCGGCGGCCGACCGACCAGGGCCGAATTCGAAGCCGGCGACGGCCAAAGACGCGAGCGGTACACAAAATCAGCGTCTGCCCATGTTTCTCTCTCAATTGCCTTTTTTGTCTCGTAGTCTTACGTCACCTCGACAGAATAAAAATGTCCCAGCTTACCACGTCCCTCAAAGAGGCCAGCCTAGTCCCCGGCGCAGCCGCCGCTCTGATCCCCCCGGCCTTTGCGCCGAGCGTGGACCTGTCCGTGTCCTTTGCGAGTAGCGAAGCCGCGCCGTCGTCGTCGTCGTCGTCGTCCGTGCGGCTCGGTAACCTGCTGCGCGTGTCACAGGTGCAGCGGGAGCCTTCCGTGAGCTTCCAAGTTGAGGTGCGCAAGCCAAAAGAGCACCCATCCGAATTCCCCCCTTCCTCACCTCCCAACAACAAAGAGGGCCTGGCTGACATATGTACGATCGAATTTTGACGCACAGGCTGGTGCTGCCGCTAACGACGGCTCGTATCTCTTGATGCTCGTCGATCCGGACGCGCCGACGCCCGAGGATCCCAAGTTTGCGTTTTGGCGGCACTGGGTCGTCTCCGGCCTGAAGCCGCCGAGCTCCTCCTCCTTCTCCTTCTCCTCCAGCCCCGCGTTGTCATCGTCCGGCACGACCCTGACCGCGTTTCTCGGGCCGGGACCGAAGCCTGAGTACGCGCCGCCCCTCCCTCTGTCCTCATCTTTTTTCTATTTTTTATTTTTTTGGCCCTCATGCTGACGCGGCACTCGCCCAACACCCAGATCCAACCCCCATCGATACCTCTTCCTCCTTTACCGGGAACCCCCCGGCCTCGCCCTCACCCGCGCCGAGGTAGGCGGTGACGCGTTTGTCGAGCGTCGCTCTTTTGACGTCGCCGGCTTCGTCGCCGCGCACGGCCTGCAGCTCGCGGGCGTCAACTGGATGCTCTGCGCGGCTGACGAGCAGTCGGCGGAAAACGAGTAAGCAGTAAGCAGTCAGGGCCGGAAGCACGGTAAGCAAAGTGAGCAATCCGCCGCCCGCTTCCCCCCGTCATGCAAGCTGTCTGGGCATGGTGAGTTGAGACGGGCGCTGTCAGGTGAAACAGGGAAGAAGAGTATTGGACGCTGTCAGGTCAGACAGGGAAGAAGAGTATTGGAAGCGCCGCATCGAATATGCTGGGCGCGCCCGCATTGATGAGCGTGAGAAAGTGGTCAAAATAGACTCAGTTTCAATTGGAGGGCCTCTGAGACACGCATCCTTGGCCACAATTCGAGCTCCTGGCCCAACCAGGGTGTTTCTATTTTTACGCCTCCAATTTTTACATTACCCCAAAACTTACCCGTACCGTTTGTGGAAATGCCGAGATGGTGAAGAGCCACAGGGCTGTTGAAAGTCCTTCTGGAGAAAACGGCCCCAATCGTGGAAGTACCGAGCAGGGTATCAGTTTCCAGCCTTCAATGTCCCTCACCCATGCCCCTGCCTGGTGTGTGTGCCAAGCGAAAATCACAATGCTTGATTTTCATCCCTTGTAGAAACCCGGGATAAATGCCAACAACAAGTGGCAAAAATGCATCAACGGCAAATGATAAAAGTCACGATACTACTGCCCCATTTCGCTTTGATAATAAGGGGCAGTATGTGCCGGTCGCATTCCAGTAGATTGCCTGCAGCTTCTCAGCTGCTGCAGGGTCTGTCAACGTGTCCAAAGAAGAAACGCAGCCCAAAGGAAGGAGACCATGCAAAAAGGGGATAAAAACAGAAACCCGCACGCTGCACAATGGTGCATCCCTCCAACGCGCCAAAAAGGACCACATGACGATGTATTGGGCACCATCTATGGCATCAAGGACAAGGCGGGGGGTCCCGTCTTGCATTGTGCCTGCCAACAGGGGTGTGCAGTAGCGCAGCAGAGAGGAGGAGGTGTGAAAAGCATCCAGCAACGACGTGCTCTAAAAGTATTCCTAAAGTCTGCGGCGCTGCATGCTTGCTTTGCGCCCTTGCAAGTCGGTTCGGTTCGGGGGTTCGTGCATCATCTCGGCAAAGGGGTGACAGGCTCGAACAAGTCTCGGTTGCCGGCGTCATGCCCTGACTGCATCGTGTGGTTGCTGTCGCAGTGGTGGCCACCTACAGGGACCAGCCTTGCTTTGCTGCAGCGTCAAGGCTGAATAGATGGAACGGCAGTGAGGCGGCCATTTCCCAGAGTGTGTGTGTGTGTGTGTGTGTGTGTGTGTGTGTGTGTGGGAGGCTCGGTATACTTGATAAGAGTCGTAGTTGAAAAAAAGGCTTGGGATTTTGTCAGCACGATACGTCATGTACCTTGTTTCTACACTTTTGTGATGAGGAAAATAGTAGGTGCAAGCGGGAGGGCCGATGTGCACGTTGCAGCTAGACCTCCATCTGTATGTATGTGGTCGGACTCAGGAAGCTGGTGTTGTATCGGCTGCCTCGCCTCACCGGCCTCGACCAGACCAAAGTTGGTGTGAAGCGGCGAAGGAGAGAGTATCAACTAGTTAGGGCATGCTTGCCACGCGGCGCATACTGCGTCGATAGAGCGAGGCCGTGGCAACCAGTCGTGTCGTAATTAACACTAGGAGTCCGTGGGCTATAACTACTGCTCGTCCACCGTTGGCCCTTGAAGAATCCTGCCAATATTTGGAATGGGAGTCCTGTCTCAAGCATGACGATAGTGTGTCTTGCTGTAATCGGTAGTGTTGGCTGACAGGGACAACACCGTTTGTCCGTTTTCCGCCTCAGCATTCCAGTGGCAGCATGTCTGCTTCGAGAATCCAGGCGAACAAGACCGTTCCCCAGAAACTCACGGCCGATAGTTGCCGGCAAACAATAGCAGCTGAAGCCGAACGGTTTTTTGGAATAGGCTCCAACCCCAAGTGATTGGGCCATCTCGTTGGCCTAGGCAGGAATACAGTACGAAGTAAGCCCAGGCTAGCATCGCGCGGCAACACTGCCTCATCAGCCACCAAAGGCGACCAGTGTCAGTGAAAACTTGAGCCAAGAACTCGCTGATGCGTGGTCATGCGGCTGCTTCCAGCCATAAATCCAAACCTGCAGATTAGCAGCGCTTGCGCAGGCTAGGTGTGAGGTTGTGCTGATGCCAGGAACCTCACTGTGACCATCCATGTGGCACCGATTTGCGGCGGGCAGTGACCTCGTCGCCCCCGCTGGTTGGACAGGCCTGCGTGACCATCATCATTGGTAAAAGCGCCGAGGAAATTATACGGTGGTTAGTCAGGCGTCGATGTTGGCTCCGATGAGCCTCTCATAGGCTGCAGAGAGGCAAGCGCATTTACGCCAGGCTGACCAGTAAAAGTAGAGGTGTTCTTTTACGTCATGGTGCTTTTCCTGGTGGTCTCTGCACCACGGTTTCTTGATAGCTTCGCTGAGGAAGACGAAAGGGAGCCGCAATGAATAACCCGAGCCTTGCCACTGGCATCGTCGGCCCGCTCATCCACGTCACAATGAGCCGAGCCTGACTGGCAACATGAACCGTCATGAGTTCAAGCGACAGCACCTCACGTAGAAGAACCGAATGTGGACATGAACAACTGGCAGGATCGAGCATCTGCAGAGTGGGCATCGAACCCGTGGCACCCGCGCAGCGTCGTACTTCCTAGTGGTGGACATTGCCCACACCACCCATCGCTTATTCGTATGTAAAGAAATCTGCAGCAGGAGAGCATTGTGCTGGTGATGTCTTGTAGCCCCAGACTCAGTCGCAGGCATGGGAGACTATTGATAGCGCTAATCGAAAAGTGGCTCTGATACAGGATTTTGCATCTCTGCTGGATCAGCATGCCTGGAACTGAAATCGACTTCAAACCAGCCAAATTCAAGTCTCTTTCATGCCACAGCAACCCAACTGACCAGACAGGGCTGGCGGGCATTGGCAAGCAGGTGGTGGCTATTAGATCAGAAGCCCATGCCTGCTAATACTATGGCGTCACAGTAATCCATACCGAGGCCCGAAATGTGCAATTTTACCACCGACCGCCTCACGGCCGGTTGAACTGGCACAAGGTGCAGGGATGGCATTTGCCTTGCGCGCTATGTGCCCTGCCACTGTAATGCAAGCCACTGGAGAACTGACAATAATAACCAGGCGCATGCTATTACAGGAAGTGGGTTTGGATGACCTTGAAGAAGTGGCCTTGTAGAAAGGCGTAGTTTTAGAAACAGATGACCAGTACCACACCGCAAATACCAATAGTGATTGATCTTCCGCCGGTTTGTGGTCGTGCTATAAGTAATAACGCAGCGTGACAGTTGTCTCTCTGAGGTTAGTCGGCAAGGCGTGAGGCGTGGCGTCTCAGTAGTCGTGCTTCACGCCGCCACCAAGCCTCTCTTCCAACCAGTTTCCTCTTTTGTCTTCAGGGCATCTTGAGTTTCGTATGAGAACATATAAGCAGGTGCGACCCCACGTTGTAAGTTGAAGTAGGCTATCGGTGTAGGTTTTTTGGTTTCTTCGGCTTGACGAGAAAGCAACACCAGCGCAGAATTATCGGACACATGAGGCCTCTGCAGAATGAGCCAGGCAAGGGCATGGGGGCGCGGGGATAGCGCATCCGTGATTGTCTTTAGAGGATAACTAGACCCTGCATCGTGAGGCTGGGCAAGTGGGCAGGAGTGTCATTGGGTAGTTTCGTTGTTTTCTCTCTTCTCACTCGATTTTCGAGGTGCGGGTTGGCTAGTTTTAGTAGGGTTTCTTCTTCTATGGCGAGGTACTCCGGACGGTGTTGTTGAAGCATCGTAAGACGTGTCACCGCAACTTTCATTCTTGAAATGTGACACGGCAGATTCCGTCCATTCCCGTGTCTCGCGCTTTCTTGTTTTTAAATCGTAGTTATCGTGTCTTGAGCCTTGACAAATCCTGGCTATTGAACCTTTTTTTTTTTTTTGCGACAACTGGCAGCAACAGGTGTGAGGGCCAATGCCGAAATGTGGCAAGATCGGCGTCGAGTCTATTGTGCCAGTCCTCGGTTACTCACAGCATCAGGGCTAAATCTAGGGCGGTGGCATCGTTTTTATCTTGCTCTGCGGTGCATTGGTGCGTATCATCAGGTATCGTTTGCATAGGGGGATGACACCAGGCGATGGCGCGCTTAGCAGCCTGTGGTATTGTTGCAAACAGCGAGGCACCGTACGAGATATGTATCCATGTTATTAGTTGGCAGGGTTGCGGTGCTGGTCAAAAAATGTTAATTGGAAGAGCAGATAGATAGCGATGCGGTCTAGCGCGTAATGGCGTGTAACAGCATGGAAGCCGTGGAAGCATGGAAGAATGGAAACATGGGGTGCTGGTGCCTGCCGAGTATGGGAAGTGGGCGATGATGAGTAGTGGTGATTAGGAGTTGGTGCGACAAGGTGTTGGGAGCAGAAGTGGGGGGGGAGGCAGAGGATTTACCTGGGCGTACAGTGTCGAAAGTGTCTTGCCACGGCCTGACGACATTTGGTGCAGATCGCACTTTGACAGGATGATAATCGGCGGCCGGCGACGCTGATTTTTTATACTTTTTCTTTTTCTTTTTCATTTATTCTTAATTTCTATCAAGATGCAGGTTCTAATGCGTGCCTCGCATCTCGGTCGTATTTAGCTTTGCATTTCCTTTATTATTCATTCGGCCATGCGCGGCGCTTGACCTCCCATCTCCCAATAAATCGGCACTTGCAAGATGGGCCGGCTCGCTCCTAATTTCAGCGTTATTATAGCGGCCAGGCGCACTGGATGGCCCTTCCACGCTAGCGGGACACCTACAACTCGCTAATAAAGCACCCCCCTTATTAACCCCCCCTAGCCTTCGACCCCTAAACGGCCCCGCCATCCGCTGCAAAGGCCCTGTGGGCGCATTTCCCAGCGAGTCTCCACCAGCCTGGCACCAAACAGGCAGCTGGCCGCCTCCACTGGCTGGAACCGCTGGAACCGCTGGAACCATTGGAGCCACTGGAGCCACCCAAGCTCTCGCCGGAACCACCTGGCTGGGGCCATTTTCTCTTTTTCTTCGACCGGGGACCCCGTTCTGCTTCTTCGTCGTCCGGGTACCTGGGGCTGCTGAGTCGCCCTCACCGCGGACAGAGGTCTGTCGAACTGCTGTCCAATGCCTCTCACTGGCCCATGTCTGGTATTGCCGGTGGTATGGTACGCAATGTTGGGTTGCTCGCTCCCTGTCGCCACGACTCGCTGCCTTTTTCATTTTACGTCGTTGTTCTCTTTTCTTTTTCTACCCTCCTCCCTTTTTTTTCCTTTTCTGTTCTCTCATTCTTCGTTCGCCTTCAGAACTCTGCACGCGTACGATTCTCCTTCCTTGGACCGTGCCGTGTCGATCACCGTGACCCTACAACACTTGGCTGACGCAACCGTGTTTCACTGGCCGCCAGCGACCTCGGACCGCTAAATTTACACTGGGCACACCTTGACGCTTCTGTGCTCTCGGCTCGCAGTTCACTGGCTGCAGCCCTGTCATTGCTCACGCTCAGTGACCTCACCTCACGACCTCCCCCAGCACGCCTATTTCACATCTCTCAACCCCCCTGGCTAGCCCATCCCGACCGCATATTCCCCCCCCCGTCTCCCCCATCCAACTCTTTCTTCTTTTCTGGCATTCTTCTTTTTTCTTATTTCCACCCCATCCGCCATATTCAGTCGTCGATTCAGCTTGCTGGTTCTTCTTTTTTCCTTTTTCCACAGCCACTCCTCTCGTCGTGTTACTCCGTCCTTGTCAGACCTCCTTTCTGTCGTCACCCGCCTCCCCAACAGGTCACGCTCCCTCCCTCTGCCCTGGCCACCTTAGCAGGACAAGGACCCTTATTACGTCGGTGGCAAACAGATTGCTCCGAGCCACGAGTGCAACCTCGCCAGCCGACCCGAAACCTTGGAATATTCGTACTATTCGACCGCCATTTCGTCTATAACTGCCATCCCGCTACTGCGCCGAATTTTCCACCTTACTCCCTCCCTCGGCTGTTGGTCGATTCCTTACCTGGCGCACCCGACGACTCGCCCTCGGCCAAAACATGTCCATGGCCATGGCCGACCACCACGATAATCATTCTACTGGGTCCCATCCCATTGTGCGCTCCGACTCCTCAGCATCAACGGCCTCTGATCATAACGACCCCATCATTCATCAGCCCATTCCGACCCGTCCGCGCTTACCAAGCCGTAAGAGCAGTGGGCCGCTCGTCGTCCCTCGTGACAGCTCAGAAGTTGGGCCTGTCGAGTCGCATTTTGGGCCCGACGACGTCAGAGCCATGAGTCCCCGGCGAACTAGCGAGGATATCGACAAGCTGGGCAGGGAAGCCCGCGAAGAGCTGCGCCGGTAAGCCCCAAATGTGCAGTAAGTGACCCATGGTCACACATGCTAACGGCCGTGCAGACATGCGAAAGCTCTCCAAGAATCGCTCATCGACATCTTCAACCGCATAGAGGCCGTGCGCGAAGAGCACGACAAGCTCGACAACAACAACAAGTTCCTGCAGAAGTACATTGGTGACTTGATGAGCACGAGCAAGATTACCGCCTCCACTAGTCGAGCCAAGAAGTGAATTTGTCGGCGCTTTTTCAGGTCGACTCGTTTCGAAGCAGCTTTTCCAGGCGCAACCTTGCGCAAACACCTGACCTCAAATTCGGCACCCTACAACTAGACTACACGTATCTTTTCCGCCGATTCTTCTTACATTACGCCTCCATTACGATTCATTTCGGCTCTCGAGCGAGCACTTGAAGCGCCAGTATCGCAAAAACATGCCCGCACATATGCGGCACGATACCCCTGCCTCTGGCGCTTTTCTACCTTGTCGCATACGATTTCTTTCCCTCCGTCGGCTGCGGCACCCACTTATACCACCTATTCTCTGTACAATATCGTCTAGCATAATTGTGCGTCGAGTCTGTGATCTCGAGCCAGCGCATCATTACGCATTATTCAACAAGGCATTCCGACGGGCGTTTTCTTTGATTTCTTTTCCCTGTCTTTTTTTCGATCGACATTTTACGATTGGGGTTCTTGACTTTGTTCCCCGTCCCTCTTCTCGATCAATATTTTACAATGGGTATCTTCACAGTCCGGCCACAGAAACGTGGACCACGTGCAAGATTCCAACCCAAAAGGCAACATCTTTTTACGGTCGGGGCAAATCACAAAAAAAGAACTGGCGTTTTTCATGGTTTTAATGGTCGTGTACTTGCCTTGGGGCAGTAGGCCAAGGTAGAAGGGCTCAATATATCAAATTCATCATGGCTGCTTCTGCGTTGTTTTTCTGTCATTTCAGGAGATGGTGTTGTGGGTATGACGTAGTTACCCCTTGCTACCCAGAAAACCAATACTTGTGCAGCCGCCACTGTCATACGACGGCGCGTTCAATAAATTCCACAAGTCTAGAAATATTTAATATTGCATATCTTATAGGCAAGCATCAGGCCATAAGGCATGCTGAGTGTGGTCACTCTGCAAGAGTCCAGAAGCTTACGAGTTTGCCGAAGAGGAGATAACTGACAGACAGGACCAAGTCCTGCGTGGCAAAGGTGAATACCATAACAAGAAAGAAACTGTCAACGAGTGCAGGCCAAAAAAGAAACAATCCCATGCCACAGTTGGAGGAAAAGGCAAAAAGATAAATTGCTTGCTTCGGAGGGGAATCGAACCCCCGATCTTCGCATTACTGGATGATTGTTAGTTGATGTTTCCCCTGTGGGGTGGGTGATTTGAGGCGGGACCTACCGAGTGCGACGCCTTACCACTTGGCCACCAAAGCCAGGTGCTTGTGTGGAGGTCGGAGCAGATATTTCGCTTTATAATAGCTTCGACGGAAAAAACTTTGACCCCATAGGTGGCACAAGAAATTTTGTCATTTGATTGATGGCATTAAAAGCATACATGCTCTCCAGACAGATAATGTCAATTCTCTAGAGTACAAAAGTCAGCTTGTGCATGCGTGGCGCCGGCTGCTGGTCCTCGAAGACTTGCAATTCATGAGCCTGGATGTGAGAGGATAAAACTCCGAGCAGACGTCAATGCGGGAATCATCGAGATCCAAAAAAAGGTTTGGCTGCCAACCAACAAAAAAGGTACCCGCAAATTAAGTCAGTTCTCGAAAGCACCACGAGCTATAACATCGAGTCCGATTACATGATAACCTATTCTGCGAACTACTCTCCAGTCGAATCAAATGTGATTTCATGGCTACTCTTGCTGCCCCGCGGATGCTTCAGCTGCTTCGGGAAGCCCGTGTCATCTTTAGTTTGGACATTGCCCTTCGTCTTATTGAGTCCAAAGTAGGCGACCCCCTCCGGAATGTAGTTGCCCGTCTGCGTGTCGCGCACATAAACGGCCGTCGTGACGTCCTTGCGATCAAACGGCATGGTCCCGACCAGCGAAAGAGTCGAACTTGTTCGAGTTCAGCCACACGTTGCCAATGTTGGCCGCCCTGATGTTGAGGCAATATCGGCTGGGCAGCCCGCTGGTGGCGTCCTTGAAGCGGATGCGGATGACAAAGGTCGGCTCGGAGCCGACGGCGAGTACCTCGGAGCATTCGTAGAGCTTCTCGTCGCCCCTGAAGGCCTTCTTGTCGTCGGTCCACTGGACAGTCAGGACTCGGTGGTTCTCCGCCCACACGAGAAGGTACTCGTCCTGGCCCATGCGGAGAGACTTGGACTTGGTATTGAGGATCAAGTGCCTGTCCGCGCTAGCTTGGAAGAAGTCCTTTGAACCTCCAAACTTTCCTGGGCAAAAAAATCCATCTTGTATGTTTGACGGTGCACAACACTCAACTACGACAGGGGTGAACAAGCGTGCTGTTGCTGAAGACTCCTTCCAATATTTATGAGCTATTCTTGAAAAATCAATAAGGGCCTCACTTCTTTAATGTCTTATCCCTGTACTCCGCGGTTTTCATCGCGGTCGACTTTTTTGAAGCCCCTGCTGTGCATGGGTTGGCCAGGGTTGCTTGACCACCCCGAAGAACCCTGAATTACATGGAAAAAGTTCAGCCAGCTAGGATTTATGCACCTCATCATTCAATGGTTGACAATATTGAGACTCGATCGAGTTTGGGCGTCTCATGCTCACCAGCACATCCCACGCCAGTGCCAATGTGCACCGAGATCGTCAAGTACAGTTTGTCACTGTCCGTCTTGAAGCCGGGACCTTCGAGATAGATTCATAATTAGAAGTTAGATCGCCCGTACTTCCCTTCCACAGTAGCTTGGCCTGTCTGCTCTCCTCTTCGTGCCAATGCCTGACGGCGTCGTATAGCACGCCCATCCAGAGCCGCGGGGCGATGAATGACGCCGCGGTACTCTATATTGGAGTGGCTAATCCATTCGCTGGGTTCTTAGACTACCTCGGAGCGTTTATGGGCAGCTGACAGATAGGCAGTTGTCGCCGCTTCTGCTCATTGGGGCATCCACGTCGTGTGCGTGCCCACTGCTGTGACGGAGGAGTAGCCGGATCTTGCAGACGCGATCCCGACATACCAATGGGGACTATGACTCCAATTTCGGAACTGGAAGGCGTTTCCGGTAGGCCCCCTGGGGAGGGAACGAAACTCTTTTCACCAGTTATGCGCCAAAAGGCTACGAAGTGATCGGTCAACATGGGTATTTGATTCCCATCCATCACAGGGCTAAAACAGCCACATTGTAGGTACGTGGTTGACCAAGGATCAAAAGCCCCGTCTTTTAGACGTCATCGATAGTAGCAAAAAGCCGCGGCCCATTAACGTGAGGAGGAACAAAAATAATCCTTGCTAGGGCAGAGATCAAAAAAATAATTGCTTCGGATGGGATTCGAACCCACGGTCTTCGCATTACTTTTAGGATGTTAGAATAAGGCTTCGTGGAGTGATGGTGGATCAGGGACTACTAACCAAGTGCGACGCCTTACCACTTGGCCACCAAAGCCGATTGTAGGCAGTGGGGACAACCTCGCCTATTTAAGTATATTTAGACCTATGACCTATAGCCGACCACCTACTCTCCAACACAGGCAGCAGCTTTCCTGAGCAAACGTCGAAATGGTTACCAGTTGCTTCCTTGGCTTACACTACGCGGCGTGAGCTGCCGTCGCCAGTATCCTGTTGACACTGAAGCTGCCAAGGCACTGAAGCTGCCAAGGCACTGAAGCTGCCAAGGAGACTTCATCGGCTATCGCCGCACTACCCTGCACAAATGACTTACAAATATAGCGAGCGCTACCAACGCCCAGTCTTGGCTCACGGTATGATTTCTCTTGGAAACGATCTTTTTCATCTAGTTGGATAGATTTCATTGGCTCTAAGTTATCCTATCCAATATGCGTGGCATGGCGGTTGAGGAAAGCGAGTGGTTTGCATCTCATAGTTGCCAGGCCTGACTTACACAAGTATCCCTCCATTTGATAGTCCGCGCCGAAAACACAATTTGTGCCAAAGAATTTCAAGTAAAGCGCCAATGGGTTTAAACAAGAGCCAAATTTTCTTTTAAGATAATCTCCCCACAAAGCAAATCTCTGTTTTTGTGGACGTGACGTCGCTCATGAGATGATCCCAAGGGCTTCGGGTCCCATATCAATGGAATGCCAGAGCCTTTGCCCGTGTTTTCCGATGATTCTCCACCGGCCTCGTCTAATTTGCCCAAAGCAAGGCTGCGACTATTTGCTTTTATTCCCGGGTTCGCGCTGGGATAAGCGGCAGTTGTGTATTTCCGCTGTTTTGACCCCCCCCCCTCTGCCAGCATATTTTCTTCCCCACACTCTGAGCGCGACACTGGCTAGACGCGTTGCGGAGGAGACAAAAAAAATCTGGTGGTGTCATACAGGACGCCATAAAGGAGCCGCGAATTAATTAGAGTTTGTATTAAGATACCTGAATCTGTTCATAAGACTAATTCCACACATGCTGCGTGTATGACATTCGTTTTGCTAGTACGCAGCCAACACAGCCAACACGCCCATGAGCTTTGCTTTTGATTGTTCAGCGCATATTCGTCTCTGTCTGCTTCCCGGAACGTTAGATAGAAGCCAATAGCTCCAACCATGGCAAGCACGGCGACAACGCCATAATTCCAAACTAGGAGGGGGTCATTTGATGGCGCTACCAGAGCCTGGCTAAGGGCGGAAGAAAAAGCAGACGTGGCAAGTGCAATGGCTTGCACTGTTGACTTCATATTACTAGGAGCCTTTGTGTATGCATACCTGGTGTTCAAAGTTAATTCGGGGTGGTTGTTACTATCTCTCGTCAGCAAACTTACTCGAGTTTTGTGACGGCAGCGAGGACTTCAGACATGCCAATCAGGCCATACGGGATTCCTTGGACCCAGACAGAAATCGGGGCTGCGCAATCTTCTCTCCCGGTCTCGACTTTGGCGTTGATATCACTACCACACTTGGAAAGTTTGTAGATGTAAGCTTGGGTGACGCACGCTGATACCATGGCCATGGAGCCGAGGACAAACCCGGCGGTGATTTCGCGGATTGATGAGAGACGCACGCCGCATTTGCGCAGTCCAGGATAGACAATGAAATCCGTGACGGGAATGATGATGACAATGAATAGGGGGTTGAGGTTATTTATAATGTCATTTGGCGTCGACCCAGGAGTCATGGTGCTCGCTTGCGAAACAAGGTTGTTCAACATTTGGTTGTATGCCAACCAGTACAGCGGGTACTACAGGAAGACCTTGCACGCAAGAATACCGCGCTTGACCTCGTCGACCCATTCGTCGTCAAAGGTCATCCATTTAGGGATCGGCTCGCCTCGTGCCGCCAGCTCGCTGGGCTTGACGCGCTGCCAAAACTCGGGATCGCGCAGATCCTTGCTCTTCTTGCAGGCGAAGCGGACAAGCTTCCACGCCTTGGCCATGACGGACCCGGTCGGCGGTGTCAGCTTGTACGACTTCTTGAAGTAGAAGAGGATGAGCGGGCAGAGAAGGTAGCAAATAGTGGGCAGCGTGAAGGAGAGCCAGAAGCCAACAAAGTGCTCCGAGTAAACCATTGGCGATCGAGCCGGCGATCGAGCCCAGGTTGATCAGGAGGTAGAAGTAGATGTAAATGCGCGCGGTCGTCACCGCGGGCTCGACGATCTCCTTATGCCCGCGCTTGTCCGTGCGCACGTAGGCTTTCTTCTCGGTATACTGCTCAGCGATGAGGGGTGAGATGTTGGACTTGAAACCTCCCGTGCCCATGCCCAAGATGAAAAGGCCGACGGTGAAGATGGCGATGCCGACCGTGGGATGGGTGATGACGGGAGGGATGGCAGATATGATGAGAATGACGTGGCCAACCAGCGCGGCAACGTTGGCGTATTGGATGGTCAGGTAACGGCCCCGGTACTGGTCCGCGAGGTATGCACCAAAGAGCGGCGTGAAGTAAGACCAGAACTGGTTGAAGGTGGTTATGCCAGTAGACGCGCGCTGGCCCATGTTGAAGGCACCGGACTGCTGCGTAAGAAATCCATCGCCGGTCTTGGATCCCTCCGGTAGGGGCTGTTGAATCAAATTGACGTCTAGAGGGGTGAGCTCTTAGCAAAGTCCTGATACTTGAGAACTGGGCTTCGACTTACACACGGCACTGGTGCCGTAGTACGAGAAGCGCTCGACAAACTCGACAAAAGCCACGGTCCATGCAGTCCACGGGATTCGACCCGGAACACGGGGTAGTATATCGAATTCTTCCTGTGTCGGAAAGGGACCGAGTTTACTGAACTCATCTTGCGTGTCGGAGCTGAAGCTGCGGGCGTTGCTTGATGCAACTTCCACGAAGGGAGTTCTTTGCCGCCCTCAATGTCTGAACTGGCTGCCATTTTTTGCTTGCGTAGTGAAGGGAAGTATTTGGAACAGCTCCTGACCTTCTACCTAAAGGAAGGAATTGATAACATATATATATATATATATCTCATTCTTTAGGAGTAGAACCAGATGGGAAAGCTCCACGAGTCCGCCGCACTTTTTCGTCACAGCATCCTCCCTAGAAAGCAGAGATGTAGACCGTTCTATGCTAAGACGCTAGAGCTCCTCGCGCGTCAGACGCCCAACTTTCCCCAACAAGATAGGCGGCAAGCTGTGATGGCGGCGCCAAGGTTCGAGGCGCTTATTTGCAGGGCCGTGTAGGGCGACAACGCCCGCAGATCATGAAGCCCAGATCCCCCGCCCCAACGCGAGCGCTCGGCAATGACTTGAAAGCACAAGCTTGCTTCTTGTGGCAAGCCAGAAGCCACTTGATCGGCGAGGTAGCCTCGTCTCGGCATATTCCCTGCTGAATAGTTTAAAGTGAAGAAGCATAGCTGTCAGCCACCAGAAGCAAGCTGTGTGGCGTCCCAGTTTCGACCTATTGTTTTTAAGTTTGAGACTAGCAAGGCCACAGCCTCCAGGTCCTCCAGGATTCCCCAGGTCAAAACGACCACCAAAGCCGAATATTAGTACCTAATAAGTAGTGGCGGCGGAATGGCTTATTGACAATCGTGACAATGGCAAAAAAGGGTCCCTTCAATAGCAGTACTCAAGAATCATTTTGCGTTAGCCACAGCAACATACCCTTCAGTGGCTAGCATTGTGGAAAGTCTATCACGGTCACCGGCCGGAGCATTTGTGGCGTCGTGTGCGTAGAAAAGCTGCCGCTCTTTGGCTTCGTATGTGATGATCTTGCAGCATGCTTCGTTTCTTACAGCAATGAATATTATTGGGATAACTATGGTGGCTTCCTTTGTCTACACTCGATTACAACACTTGCATGCACTTCGCGCCGTACTATTGTAACAAACAAGTAAAAGTGTCGCATAAATTACGGAAGAATAGTGCTGAGAGCAGAAGTTTTATTCATTTGATTTTTATCCTTGTTTAATGATTGAATATCGGCTCTCCCCTCCTGGCCGCGCATCTTCATACCTCTTTTTTTTTTTTTTTTTTACACAAAGGACCCTGAACATCGCGGGGCAGGGATGATACGATGATACGAATGGCAGGAATATTCTCATCAACTTTCGTGTTGACCCAGAGATTCCATGCTGCTTCGGCTGACAAACCAGACTGGAATGCAATTTAAATCGGACTGATTGCGCCCCTTGTTTGCCAGGGGGGAATTTCGTGGCGCGCAGAGAAGAAGATGGGGAACGGGACCGTGCTTTTTATTCCCGCTCATCGCCCATTTTATGTCCTTGCATCCCCACCGTGTCCAACTTCAGACGTGTCGTGACAAGAAAGAAGGATGCAGTACGTGTCGCGCGCGACTTTCATGGCCGTAGATGCTTGCCACCTGAGAATGTGCCGGGTACTACGGAACGTACGAAAACGGACCATCAGCGACCGTCGCTGCAGCGATCATCGGTAGGCGGACGAAGGGACGAATTCTCCTCGGGGCAAAAGAGCACATCGGTAGTCCAGTTTCGCGTGCTGTGTAGAGAAATGGGCAACTCGGGCTATCGGTCCTAGGCGGCAGGAAAACCCGACTGGTCATGCGATGGGCCAAGTCAATTTGGCCGACTATACAAAAGAGGACGGGGCTGTAAAGTTGCACTTTGAGTTCGGAGCAAAGTATTTATGAAAACAGTTCAGATAACTACCACGTTTCTATAGAAGCTCGGCTTATCCTAACACCACACTCGGCCACCAATGATCACCCATTAATCGAGCCATGCTGCTCGGCACATGTTCAAACTGCGGGAGAAACCGCTTACAGGATGCTGCCAATAGGGATGCAGAGATTGAGGTTGATGAGGCCGATGTTTTGCTGAGTCCAAGTTAGTGTCATGTAATATCGGGAGGGATCTCTGAGGTAGAGCTTACGTCGGAGTTTCCAGAGGACTGGCAGCACGCAACAGAGCCGCCCTTGCACTGGCCGCTGTTGAGGATATCCTGGATACCGATGACTGGCGAGATAGCGTTAGATCAATAACCTCAGACATAGATATCGTTAAACTCTTACTAGCGAGGTCGAGCTTGGAGCACTGGCCAAGGAGACCTTCCCCGAGGATTCCGTTGAGGAGGCCGTTGTCGTTGCCAGAGTTCTTCTGGTTGCAGCAGGCAATCTCCTGGTTGCCACCGCACTTCTGCTGCTGGGCCTCGCGCCAGGTCATGCCAGCGAGGCTGTTGCCCAGGGCGGCATCGTTGACGGGCGCGGCAGAGACAGCGGCGATGAGGGTAGTGAGAGCAAGAGTGAACTGCATGGTGGCGGGTTTTTTTGTTGTTTGGGTAAACTTGAAAGGTGGTGTTTGAGTTTCTTGGGAGTGAAAGAGTGTCTTGATGAGCTGATGGTGATGAGAAGTTTCCAGCCTGATGATGGACGTCTTCCCTCTCTTTATACCCGACTCTCGCCGCTTCAAGTCCGGGTCGCGTGGAGTCGAATCAGCAAGTGATTGTCGTGGTTAGCCTCGAGGGCTACTCCTCAAGAATGCACCCAATAATAACTAGACGCCAAGAGAATGACCGCTTTTACTGTAGCATCAGGAATTTTGGCGAGGTCGTCGCCAAACCTTGCATACCACACCAGATGGCGATCATCAGTCAGAACTTCCTTGAACGGCCATGGTCCTTTCCATGTGAGTCTATCGAGACGCATCATTGAACGGGCTAGCATTTCTGGCTCCAGTCGATGACTTAGTCTGAACGGATGTGGTGCATTCCACCTATCGCGGTACAAAAATTGTGTCCTCGAGTCTGTCTTACACCGAAACTAAGACATGATGGTCTGCATGGTTCTCTGTGGCGGGTGCAAGTCTCCGGAATCCAGACCGCAAACGGTGTTGAAGTTGTCTCGGACCCGGTATGCTGCTTCTCGCCTGCCCCGAAGTAGTATCATCTCGTATTATTTATTTATTTGCGGCCGATAGCCTTTCTGATAGAGGGGCAAGAGGGGCTTCGATCGCGACTAACTCACCCCTGTGGATTATTCCCCCACTGGTTGCCCTCCGGCAGCTGACTTTCCCGTACCTGGGTACGCATTCCAGTCGTTTGCGGTTGATCGGCGACGAAGGTCATGTCGATCCATTCCGGCTTCTACGGCACATCGGGGGGGGG